ATTGCCTAGGGAATCGGCGATAAGATCAACATTGGAAGTCACCTGCGAACCATCCATGATGATGAGACATTGGCATACCGAGCAGGCGAGACTACAACTTTCCAGTCTCCAGAGAAGATAGTTGAACAGATGAGATGTGATTGAGTATGCAAGAACCAAGGTAAACCAACATCGTAGAATGTGTAATTATACTCCCCGGGGAGTTCCCAAGAGAAAAAAAAAACCGATGCGAAATACAAATGGAAAGAGATAGAGTAGAGTAATAAACAATGAACAAAGCCATTTTAGTATATGGTCTATGACCCGCACGACGCGAGAGACCCCCAGGATATCGATTTCAAACAGAAACAACTCCGCAATCCAATGGTTTCGATCGCACCAGACCCAACCAGCCACACACCAGGTGGCGACGGTAGTAATGAGTATCGCGTTTCACCAAGCCCCGAACCGATGTACAGAGAACAATCCGTAAAAGAGATAAGAGAGAAAAATAGACCAGAAGAAGTGCAAGTAAGAAAGAGCAAGAAAAGAAAAGTAACCCAGATATTCAACAGTGCCCAAGCAATGCAGACGTGTATCGTTTCCGCCTCTAGATCCTGAAAATGATATCCATCCCGCCCCGGTAAAACAGAAAAACCCCAAGAACAAAATTGAGAGATCGTAGAAAAAAAAAAAAAATAATCACAGCGTAGTGTATCTGGCAAAGTCGTTTGCACGCAAACCATCCCAAAAAAGGAAATCAACTCCAGGTCATGGACATGCAACGTCAAGTAGCAATGTCACTGCATGTTCTGTACATCATCGGAGGCCGAACCGAAAAAAAAGGAAAACAAAGGCCGAAGAAAGTATTCGTCCCTCCCTGAGAGACGAAAGAGGTATCGTAGAAGGATGCAAGGTATTGAATCGCAGGCGCCGTCGCTCGCAACAAGCTGAAAGTATCGCAAAGGATCTAAGATATGAGGCGAAGGTGGTCGTAATCGGCGAAAATAAGGAGATGGGTATGTACAGGTCGGATTTTTTGTTTTCGAAATTTTGATGTTTTTTTGTGTCGCCGTGTTCGTGGAACAAATATTTTTCCCAAGTTGGTCGTGTCGAATGCAATGGCCGTATCAGACAAGAAGGCAATGGTGAAAAGAGAATTATAACCTGCGATTAAGGGACCCCGATGATGCAGAACAGGGCAGGTGACAAGCAAGGAGATGGAGATGTCGGTCGCCAGTTCACGACTTTGGCAGATGGCATCCTTACCATCGACGCTGGACATTCTGCATCATCGCGGGAGAGATCGACGACGGAGGGCTCGACAAGGTCATTCCGGTGTTAGGGTTGATGATGGGAATGACTTTGCGAGTCCGGTTGGCAGAAGGCTGCTGGTAGTTGACATGATTAGGGTTTCCGGCAACACCAGGGTGGACGTAAGCGTTGGTCTGAGCGGGAGACAAAGAAATGGACGGAGTCACCTGCTGCACCGGTTGGATCTGGTGCTGCAAAGGCGAGGTGTCCGGGGAACCGCTGGAAAGAGAGGAACGGTCGGAGGCGGAGTGGATGGAGTGCAACTGGAGACATGTCAACAAAATGGCTCATGTGACATGTATGCAAATCGTGACGATCTTCAAGGGGTATAGGGGAAAATCGCCATATCAAAACATACATCATCCTCAGTCAGGAGACCTGGGCAGAATTCGAGGTCATCATCCAAATCGAAGGACCGACCAGCCTCGAATCGTGCACGGAAGGCCGTCACAGCGGGAGCTTCGGCCAATTCCCGCATGCTCTTGACACCTCGGAACTGACGCTGGGCATTCTGCTGTTGCATCTTGGGAGCGCGGCGAGAACGTCCGTGGTGGGTATTAGAGGCCTGCATGTGGGAAGCATGGTGAGGCTGTTGGTGTTGGTGGTTGTAGAAGAAGGCAGACATTGTGGGTGATTTAAAAAGCCAGCACCCGAAAGTGAAAGGAGAATAAAGTCACAGATATTGAAAGAAAAAAAGAAGATGGGGGGAGGCAGAGTAGTTGGGAGCGAAAATAGAAAGACAGACAGAAAGAGTGTGTGGGAGAAGAAGGGAAGAGGCGAAGAAAAAGAGGGGATGGGCTGAGAGGGAGGTATGGTCAAGTATGGTAAGATCAACAGTAACAGCCTCCGTTGCGTGTTGTATTGATGTATTGTAATGTAAACACATACAGGCCACTACCGTCACGCACCAACCACCCTAAGTGGCAACTCGCTTCAGCCAATCACAGCCCGCAGATCTCACCAAAATGACTCCACCAGGCAAATACCAGCGTGACGTCGTCGACTTTGTCTACAATGACGATTGTCGAGTCTCTAGATTCTATAATCACTTCTATTCTGTGATTCACTTCTCTGCTTTCAACATGGACCCAATATACCATAGGAGTCAGTCCTCACTTTAGCTGCAGGCTGTGCAGGGCTTGCACCAGGAACATTCTTTCCCCCCCCCACCCCCCTATAGGTTGCCCGAATCGGGAGTGGCTGCTGATCTCGCTTTGATCGACCCCCGTATGAATTCCCCAATCCTTCGCCAATCCTTCGCAGCGAAAACCTTGTTAGCCTCGAGACATCCCACGGTCCCTTTAGCTGCAGATGAGATCATCGCTTATTGGCAGGGACCTTGAGATCTTACCTTATCAGCCCAAACCCCCTCAAGCCGAGTTCATCAATGCGGAATCCGGCCTAGGGGCACACTGGGGGCACACTGGGGGGCAGTGGCACTGGGTAGCATTGCCTTGTGACTCATTCAATGGAGCCCTACGATCGAATAAGAGTCTCCAAACACTTCATAGGTCCCCAACGTTGTGGATCTACACTTGGGAGCTATTTCCGTTTCTCGCTTTTTCGGGACTGATCGATAGGCTTGGCTTTTGCCATGCAATGTTTCTCGGGCGCCTACTGGAACACTACCTGCATAATTCTGTAATACACCGTGCCACTTACGTCCACGGCCTACGCCGTATGAGCCCACTCACGCCTCCAGCGTCAAGACATCTTAATCGCCGGGTTAGTCCACACCGCCCTTTTGACCTTTGGTGTGTAAACCTTCACTCCAAACCCTGGGGAGTAATATAGATCATATATACACGTTGTACCTTATGCACGAGTCGAGGTACATGTGTATGTGAATGCATGAAATATGCTACCTGCGAGGGGCGCTAAATATCCTGCAATCCAACCCCGTGTTAGCGTGCAAGGGAGCGCAAACAAGATCTGCCGTTGGATTTTGAACATGTCATAATGTTCCACAACTGTAAGCAACGGTGTCCGCACTCCGAGTCAGCGATTTCATCCCGTATTGCAGGGATTGCGGAGTTGATGCTGTTGCACGACATTACAGGGAGCATATAAGCCTGCTGGTGTAACAGCGACCGAGTTGAGCATCTACTTCGCTGGAATGTGGTTCACCCTATCACTCCGTACAACAACTTCAGCATCTACACAACAATGTTATTGCTTAGCGATCAATCTTTTTGCAAACTGCAAGACCAATGATAATATAAGTATGGGGTGATCAAAGCTCTTTTGATTGATCTAAATACCATATTACGACATCCACATTCCCCAGAGTGGCTGGGGACAACCAGCCCATTAGCGTGATATCCAGAAAAGAACCCCAGCAAAATATACTGCGAGTTAGTTACTCCTATTTGTCCCTTGTAGAAAAAAATTTCCTCACTCCATACACAATCAATGGCCATTGTCCTACACCCGTCCCACCTAGCTTATTCTCCAACCAATATAACACGATGTAGGACAACAAGGACAAATTAAGTAAGATATAATACAAACAAGAAAACGACACCAGCCCCCAATCCAAATCCAGCCCGAACACCATTATCATGGCATCGCCACTCTCAGAAGCAATCCACCTCTCTCCAGAGGACCATGAACCCCAAAATTAACCCCAACAAACCATCCTAATGGTAGGCAGGCCCAGTAGGCCTAGTCATAGCCCTACGCCTAGCCCAGTCCGGCATCACAGTAAAAGTAATTGAGAAAGAACAAAAACTAAGCGAAGAACTGCGGGCAGCAACATACTACGCCAGCGCACTAACAGCCACGGACAAGATGGGGATTATACCCGATATGGAGAATGCGGGGGTTTCATCTCTGCGGGATTCTGCTGGCATAAACCAATATACTCTGATGGAAAGGGCGGGTATAAATTGGGTGACGTTGTCTGTCGAGGACCTGTTCCTGTTAATGATAATGCGAGCCATTGTGTTGATGGGAATATTGTATCTGCTGCAGCCTGAATTGACAAAGTTGCTTTGTGAGAAGGCTGTTGAGACGGGGTTTGTTGGTGTGTTTTGAGGGGCGGCTTGTTGATATTGTGCAGGATGGTTCTGGTGTTAGGGCTATGACTCGGCGGGGTGATGGCGAGACTGAGACGGAGACGATGCTTCGGGATTCTTATCTTGTTGGTGCTGATGGTGGTTAGTCGTCTACGAGGCGGTTGTTGGACATCCATTTCAAAGGTCATTCCTGGCCGGAGAGATTACTCGCTATTGATCTGCTTTTCGAGGATCCGGATCTTGAGGTTGAGTTCCCGAGCCAGTTCATTGTGCATCCAGTTCATTGGGGTATTGTTACTCCATTGAAGCCCGTTGAATCTGGCAAGAGGACGCTATATCGATGTAACTTTGTTTTGGATCTGGACGGCAATACCCCCATCGACGCAATAACATCTTCGGCGTATGTCCGCTCATTTTTGGACAAGGTTCTTCCGGGGCTGCGGCCACTCAATGCAAATGTTATCAGATCTGATCTTTACCGTATTCATCAGCTATGTGCTTCGACGTTTAGGAAGGGGAGGTGTTTCCTTGCTGGAGATGCTGCTCATCTTAAAAATGCCAGTATTCTACTTCTACAACCTAACATGATATGAACCCGGTGACTTGTTCACAATATGATACCAGCCAATGGGTGGCATGGGCCTTTAAACAGGGCTGATAAACTCCTAAGCCTTATCTGATGCCCTCGAGATGATCATCCTCGAAGAAAAGTCAGATACTTTGCTGGATGTTTATTCAAATGAAAGAGCCAAGCCTTTCCAGATGTTTGTTGAGCCTCAAAGCACCCAGAACAAACTTCGACTGCAGAGCGATCCTGAAACAGTACATGTAAATTGGTTGATTCGACAGTTCAACGGCCAGTCGCCTGGTTCCGCGGAAGAACTTGCGGTGCAGTATTTCAAGCAGTGGAGAGTGAATATGAGAGAAATAGCCTCGAAGATGGAGTAATATTGCTGCGCAAATTTGGAAGCTTGATTTGGTATTTGCTCGACGTCTGGATTTTCCTAAGTAAAGAAATCGGAGATTTGTTGAACACGCTCCACAATCCATGTCCTTCACACTAGTCCATAGGTTCCAGGGTTGTAACCAATTCAATAAGTTTATCAATCGTGAATCTGCTGTTGGTAACTCCAAAAATGATTTCTGGAAGATGAGCTAGACGCAGAAGTCTGCTGGATCAAAGGGATTGCCATGAGACCGAGACTCAGCATCGGTAGCTAGTTAACCGAATCTAAGGTCAATGGTTGATTCCCATTCGATGTAGCCAGGAACTACCCAGTGCCGCTGTCCACACTGGAAATGAACGAGAACACGTAGAATGCAAAAGCGCAAGACGATGCATCATTTGTCCAAGTTCTTACTTTTGACCATCCTCCCAATAAGCTCTTTGCAAGTCTTCTCGCTATATTGCTCCCACACTTCGTACAGCGAGACCAGCTCCTGCGTGCACTCAATGACAGCTTTGATATCAACCTCGCTTTCAGCCAGCCACTCGACAAGCGTTTGGATGTTTGACGGAGGACCGGATCCACCCTTATCCGACAATGCAGCCATCATATGCATGCCTCCTCCTTCTCTCATGGCGCTTGCTAGAGCGGATTGCGTGGAACCAGAGAAATTGGCAGGATGGGAAGGTTTAAAGACAACGGCGACGATAATTGCCATAATTGCAATGACATGGGGTGGATGGAGTAGTGGCAGGTCTGTCAGATAGTGATCATTGATCACTGACCAGCCAAGAGCGACCTCCTCCGAGGTGAGTGATAGTTCAGATTGGAGTTCGGATAATGTCCGGTAGGGATGATGCACGATCATTTGTGAGCTCATTTCTGAAATGAGAGCGAACTCGCATTCTCCCAGTTTTGCCACATCTGGGGTGATGAATTCTGGGGACCGTTAGCTTCCGGCTACCTGGGCATATGGTTGAGAGCTCAGCTAAACATAAATGCATACCTGGCCAGAGACCACGTGCTTCGCCGACCACAAAGCGAATGTGTTGTGGGCACTCTTCCATCTTGCAGGCAAGATAGAAGGCTGTGGTGAGTACAAGGTATGGGTTTGTTTGTCGGATCTCATTTTTGGTATAGAACCTTTTGAGATAAACCTGTGCTGTCGCAATGGCTTGCTGTCTAGTGGACATGCGCTTGCCAAGCTTGATGAGCTCTGTTTTCCCTGATTAGCTTCGTGCTGCACGTAAGCGCTCGATGACACCATATCAGCAGAACCCACGCTGGTTGAAGTAGATGTTCAGTAGCCGCTGATCCGGCAGCGGAAACTGTGAATGTGCAACCTTGTCCTTCTCGCGTAATGCATCGCGAGTCTCAGCTAGCTTTTCCCTCGAGAAAAGCCAGTGGCGACGCTGGGTCGAAGTCCAGTAGTTTGCCGCCATAACGGGGGATTTGATGGGTCAAGCCTGGACACCCGTCACGACATGATCTCCGAGGTCCGAGCTACAACTTCCCCGCAGGTCAAAGCAGACAGAAGCAAGGAACACCTAAAATATCTGGGAATAAGAAAGTGAAGTGAACAGTTTATGTATAAACATAAAGGAGGTCCAAGTCCCAAAAAGGGATAGTAGGGCTTGGCCCTGGTCCCGTGCCTCCCGACGATAATCCGGTAATGGCGTCAAGAGCCCAAGCAAATCGCCGAGCGTCGATTAATCATTGCACTCCCCACCTTCTATGCTCCTCCCCTCTTCCCTACAATAGGGGCTTACCCGTTTATTCTTACACAAATGATGAAGGTTGCTCGGTAACAATTTTCCTCCGATCATGGCACCCGGCGAGTCGAAAGACGAACGCGACGAACGAGTTGCCAAACTCTGGGAATCCCTGGATACTCGACGCGAAGGCCATATCGACCTGGCAGGACTCAAGAAGGGTCTTAAGAAGATCGACCACCGTGAGTCTGACCGGATCCCGTGCTGCTGCACCTGACTGACACGTCTCTTGCCAGCTTTGAAAAATGCAGATGACATGGTCCGCAACGTCGTGCGGGAAGTCGACACCAATGGCGATGGCCGTATAGACCAAGCTGGTAAGATCACAAGCTCTTAGAAAGAAATATCCTGGCCGCGCGCCACCGATCCTAATCGTCTTTAGAATTCCGAGCGTTTGTCGACCATACAGAGGACGGTCTATGGCAGATGTTCCAGAGGATCGATCGGAATCACAACGGAGAAATCGACAAGAGCGAATTAAAAAACGCTTTTGCTCAGTCTGGAGTCACGGTATCGAGCGCCAAACTAGATCGATTTTTCGCGGAGGTCGACAAAAACAATGACGGGGTCATCTCATACACAGAATGGAGGTTAGACACATCCGGACTGGTCAAGTGAGGCTGAATAGCTTGGACTGACGTATCTGCTCTTTCATTTAGGGACTTTCTTCTTTTCCTACCTCTACATTCCCCGGCCGACCTACACGCAGTCCTGTCATACTACACGGCCACGGGCAATCTAAACCCGGAAGGAGATGTCCACATCAATGACCTGCAGGGTTTAGGTACAGACCACCCGTTTCTTACCTCTTATATTCTGGCCATCCAATCCCTTTTGTACAATATTCTCTCCCTACCCGCCTTGGCCGCTCTCCTTCCTTCAGTGTATGCGCAATCCACTCAAAGCTTAAATTTGGGACCTGTTCCCGATGATGACTTTGCCTCGATAGAGGGAGACTTTGAGTTGGAGTGGTTGCCCATCCCCAAGACTACCGCAATGTGGATGTCTCTGCGATATTATGAACGGAAGTTGACCGAAAATACCCCTCAATTAGGCTACTTCATTGCAGGTGGAATCGCGGGCGCTGTCTCAAGGACAGCGACCGCTCCCCTTGACCGTCTCAAAGTCTATCTCATTGCTCAGACCGGCGTCAAAGAAACAACCCTTCGAGCGGCGAAGGAGGGAGCCCCACTGGTCGCGGCAGGAAATGCTTCCAGAACACTGCTCGATGCTTTACAGGTATTATGGCGAGCCGGAGGAATCCGCAGTCTGTTCGCAGGTTTGTTTTTCTATTCGTTCGTATCCCGAAGCTCCGACTGATCTCCCACAGGAAATGGCTTGAACGTTGTGAAGGTCATGCCAGAGTCTGCAATCAAGTTTGGCGCCTATGAGGTTAGTTGATATGCGAAGTGATTAGCCTGAGAATAGGGGCACTGACAATATACTAGTCTGCGAAACGAGCATTTGCTCGACTTGAAGGGCACAACGATACCAAGCGACTCCTACCAACGTCACAATTCATGTCCGGTGGTTTCGGAGGAATGGTGGCACAGTATGTTGCGTGTTATTCCGAGAGGAAGCTCAATTCTAATCCTTTCCAGATGCTTTGTATATCCCCTTGATACCCTCAAATTGTGAGTACATTACCCAACCATTCATGTGGACAACATAGCTCATCATTTCGACAGTCGCATGCAGTGTGAAACTGTAAAGGGTGGCCCAAAGGGAAACCAGCTCATTGCCGCCACAGCGAAAAAAGTCTGGAACAAGAACGGCCTATTTGGCTTTTTCCGAGGACTTCCTCTTGGCCTTGTCGGAATGTTCCCTTACGCCGCAATCGACTTGTCGACGTTTGAGTATTTGAAAAGATCACTTATTGCCAAGAAGGCCCGCGAGCAAGGCTGTCATGAAGATGATGTTCCGCTTGGCAACTTTGCGACAGGTGCAATCGGCGCCACAAGTGGTGGATTCAGCGCATCGATCGTCTATCCCCTCAATGTCCTACGCACCCGACTGCAAACCCAGGGTACGGTCATGCATCCGCCTACATACAACGGCATCGGCGACGTTCTACGCAGCACCCTCGCATCTGAAGGACCCCGCGGTCTCTACAAGGGTCTCACACCCAATCTTCTGAAGGTGGCACCGGCCATGTCGATCAGTTACGTGGTCTACGAAAATGCGAAACGTACGCTCGGCTTGAGATGATCTGCCAGCTCAATATCATCCTTCGTCTCTTTTCCATACCTCGACAGATACTGGCCAGCTAAACGTTCGCATCCCGTCCCTGGTGCCGGACACATAATGCCCCGGCGCCTTGCGGATAATATTTGATATTCGCGCGCTTGACCTTTACAAGCATCACCTCGAGATACCCTCCGGCTCCGGATCCATCCAGATATGGCGAATCCTTCCTTCACAGGTGCATTTAAATAATGCGTACCTTGCCCTCTCGATTTCTTCATGCCTGATGCCATTTAGAGATCAAAATTTTTGCATTTTTGCCTTTGCTTGATCCCTATACATCAGGGCTTCAACATGTAATTTTTCACTTCTCTTCTTGCTTATGTTGCTCTCACTTGAGACAACTGTTATTTTGGCCCGCCTTTGATACAAAAAAGGCATCGTGAAACCCAACAATCATCAACCACATCAGCATGGCAAGGCGTCGATATAAAATACCACGGGACTTTTGCTTTCTTTTTGTCTATACTAGAAAATCTACATCCATGAACAACTGAAATACGGAATCGCAACCATGATAAAGAAATATTCACTTAAATCTCATTCCGATTAATTTGGTTGATAACGCATCCAACAATTGCAATCACAGTATTCCAATTAAGCCTTAACAGCCCTGACCTCCTCATCCTTAGGAAGGATATCAGGCACAGGCCCAAGAGGCGTGATGGCAAACTGATTAATCTGCTTGTGGCTCTTAGTATAATGGAACTTGATATGCTCAAACTCAGTAGTATCCTTGAAAGCAGGGACATCCCAGTACAGACGTCTGACCCAGGCATGGATAGCCGGGAATCCAGAACGGATATCACAAATATTGCACTTGAAATGCTGTACGTAGACAGGATCGAAGCGGATAATTGTCGTGTACAATCTGATATCAGCCTCTGTGATCTCATCGCCGAAGAAATATGGCTTGGAGGCTGCTTGTTGCTTGGCGAGGTGGGCTTCGACTTTTTCGAGGGAGCTGAAGAGGGTTGTTACAGCTTTTTCGTAGGCTTCTTGGGTGGTTGCGAAGCCGGATTTGTAGACGCCGTTGTTGATGTCGTTGTAGATCCATTCGTTTGAGGAGTCTATGTCGGATTGGAAGGCTTTCGGGAAGAGGTCTACTTTTTTGTATTGCTCTGGGAGGAGGTCGTCGAACTCGGTGTAGAACATTCGGATGATTTCTGCACTCTGTTTTGATCTTGGTCAGATGGTTGATTTGAGGATATGCTTTGTATTGGAGCTCTTACCTCGTTGCTGACGATCAACTTGGTCTTCTTGTCGAAAAGGACTGGGACCGTGAATCGGCCGGTGTAGTCGGGGTCATTGGAGAAGTATACTTGGCGGATATGGGTGAACTCCGGGTGCAGGGGATCGGGGATGGCATTCTCTCCCGGGAGATTGTCTTCAACAGTAGGGAATCGCCAGCCTGCAATTCAAGTTAGGACCTCGTGCTTTGGGTTCTTTTTCAACAGCACTTACCTTTCTCGCCCATGTGCCAGTGCACCGAGGAGAAGGAGACGAAGTCTTCAAGACCCTTGAGCTTCCGAGTAATCAGAGTCCGGTGAGCTACATAATTAGCACCAGGCCGAGTATAAAGTAAATTAAAAGCTTGAACATACCCCATGGGCAAGCGTAAGAGACATAGAGATGATAACGGCCCTTCTCCGGAGGGAATTGGGCGCCGGCCTCTTTAGAGATGAAGTTACGGAAGACGGATTGCTGACGCTTGAACTCGCCCGACTTGTCGGCGGGGTTCACCCAATCGGTGATCTTGGCGGAATTTCCGGTCTGTACTCGCAAATTAGCCTTTGATTATCCGTCTCTAATGCTTTGAGAGATTCGTACAGCCATGTTTCGGGAATATAAGAAAAGTGCGGAGAAGCTGGAGCTTTGGTAAGCTTTAGAGATGAACCCCACACGGAGAATTGCTGGACGTGGAAGATTGTGTAAAGCCTGTGAGCGAAGGAGAGAAGAGAACATAAGCGGAAGACACGGAATATTTATAGAACTTCAATTTGAAGGAGAAAGAATGTAGTTGCGGGGCATTACGTCTTTGACAAAATGCTGAGTCAGGTGCTTATCGAGAGCTCGATCAGCGTTGACAAAGCGGAGTCTTGGCATTCCAAATAGGAAACTCCTCTAAATCGCTTATGCATGGTAATATAAACACGAACACACTGACACAGAGGAGTGGAAATAGTCAATAAATTCTAGCTATTGTACTAAATTAGGCTTTTCATCGAGTCTATACCTAGATAGACCAGCATTTATTTAGTCAGCTTGACCATCACGTAGGGGACCTCGACGTCTTCCTCGGTCTGGTCCTCGGCAGTCACCTCGAAGATGATGTTCTTCTGGTGCTCCGGAACAGGCTTCTTGCTAACATGCTCCACAAGCTTGCTCATACTATATTGTCCATGGTTAGTAAACTCGCGTGTGTAGGAAAGGGAGGAACTTACGGCAGAGGAAGACGATCTTTCACCTTCGCCGGAGGGTAGAAGCTGGCATACAACAAGCTGACGCCAGAGCTGACCATTGTGATATCCAAACCCTTATCGGCAAAGTAGTCAAGGAAATCCTGAAGGGGAATGTCCTCCACTTCGAAACGGTCCCAGAGCTTGTCAATGGTGACCTCGCCTTGCTTGCCCTGGTACTTGCCCTTCTCACTCTGAATCGGCTCGCTGAAACTGAAGAATGGAAGCGCGAGGTTGACAAAGCCATTTTTATATTGTTCAATGTCGTCATTTCCGTCAACGACCTTGAAAAGCTCAAGGGCGACGAGGCCAGTGACCAAGGCGGTAGTGGTGGCAATGGCAGGAATAATCTTTCCGGCAATGAACTTAGTCTTGTGTCGGTCAGCCTGAGGAATGTCGTAGTTGTCCGCACGGAGGTTGCTAGCGGCAGTAATAAAGTCGATATGGTGGTTGGTGTCATCGTCCTTCTCAAACTCAACGGGTTGCAAGCGGAAGCCAGCAAGCGAGTTAGGCGAAGGGAGAATGGCCACCAATTTCTGGATTTCATCCTCGTCGTTGGATGAGCCTCCGGCTGGCTGGGCATTAGGATCAGGGTCGTTATCATTGGCCTGGATCTTAACATTCGAGCTTGGTGTGAACTCGGGGATAATCATATCATCAACAACCTTGCGGTAATAGCCCTTGTCTGCACCAGGGTTCTTAATGCCATAGTTGAACGCGTGAAGATTGGCACCAGCGATAACAAATCCAAGGTGAGTGGGGTTGAGACTATCAAACTTCAATGGTGTAGGCGCACGCTTAGGCCCAGACCAGAAGGGTTGACCTGAAGAAGTTTTGGAGTCCCGGGGGAAGTTGTAGAGCAGCTGCTGGATAGCATTGTTGTATTGGGACTCGAATTGCTGACGGGCCCAGACAATACAATCATCGAATGTCAAAGGCTTATCGGTGACCAAGAAGTCACGGAGGTGCTCCAAGGTCTGCTTTTCGTTACCCGCCTGCTTGAGTGTTTGATCAATGTAGTCAGGTTCCGAGAGGTACATGTTGACTGATTCCGGTGGGCCAACGAAGTAGGTCTGGAAAATATCCCGTGCCCAGGCAATTGTGTGCTCAATGCGGTTGGGGAAACTTTTCAAGGTGCACATGGGGAACGACTTCTCAGGAGGATCCTGAGAGCTGGAGTAGGACTCTGTGATGAAGGGCAGAACAACCTGAGTGTTGCCCTTGGTGCCGAGAGTACCACTTTCCAGCAATGGCTTACGGAAGAAGACACAGCGGCGATCAACATATGTACGTGCATCAACGTTATCCAAAGCGTTCGTCACACCGTCCAGGCCATTCCAGAAGTTCTCGTTGAAAATTTCCTCAGTATCAGGTCCCACGCGGTCACGAAGAGTCACAATCTTGTCCTGCAACTCCGGGTTCATGGCCTGAACAGCCGCGGATGCGCATTCACTCTTCAGTCTGCCAACATCCTTGGTACGGAAGAGGAATTGCCGGTTCAGGTTGCTCTTCTCAATTTGGTCCATATCGGTAACGTAGATCTTTCCCTTGGGACCTGTACCCAGACCGATCATGGCCCAGTTCTTCAGAGTTTCGCAACCAATAGCACCGGCGCCGACCAAGAATTGGGTGACATTGGCAAGCTTGTCCTGATACTCCTTACCGAACACCGCAATTTGTCCATCGTAACGAGTACCAGTGGGCTTGCAGCTCTCCTCGGATCGAGTGACCGATTTAGGCAAAGACTCGAGGGAGTCAAAATAAAGCCACTGCTGCACAGGGCTGAATTTGCCGGAGACTGCTTTCAGTACCTCTTGAGCAGCGATACCACCGAAGAAGGCGGCTAGAGGGTTCAGATCACCACGAGCTTGGTAGCTGAGTTCCTTGATGACTTTTTCAGTCAGTTCAACCTTCTCTTCACCAGCCCCAGCAAGATCAGTAGCAAGCTTGAGGACCTCCTGGGCGTCACTGTCGTTGTGAGGACGAGGCAACTGGCCATCATGAGTCTCAGCGAACTTGTGGAGAGCCTGGATACCGATGTGCATTTGCAGAGGCCGATCGAACTTGGCATAATCGGAAATCAAAAGCTCGGGGTTCTTGAGCTGCTCCTCCAGTGGCTGGAAATCAATAAACTTAGGCATCTTGACTTGATTGAAGAGACCGCCACCCTGATATGTTCCTAGGCCGGAAACATCGCCAATGGCGAACGTATAGGGTCCCTTGACGGTGATCTTGCGAGGCGCACCGTCGTTAATGCCTTCCATTCCCTTGACTTCAGTAAATGAGACGAAATCGCCATCTTCCAGTCCATGACGGGTCTCATCCAGCGCCGATACCAAGCCATCCTCGCTGATGTCTGCAACAATACCGCCGGCAGGCTCCTCACCCGTGGGATCACCAACAGTGAAATTCTTTCCAAAGTCATTGAAGAGGTAACCGAAGAGACCGAATGTATCCGTAATCGTGAGGTAGATTCCGTTCTTGTGACAGAAATCCGCAATCACCAGTTGTTCCTTCAGAGGGACCTGTGTGAGAACGATTGCCTGGTAGCGCTTAAGCTGTTCCAAATCATCTACAATCTTCTGGCCTTCGTGAATAGTGACTGGAACGTAAGAGTTCAACTCGGCGACCCTGGGGGCGGTGACTTCGGCGCGCGGCTTGCCGACGTCTGAGGCCTGGAGGAAGAACTGTGAAGAAAGGTCCGCGATAGCGACTGGCGCAGGGTCATGAAGGGTGAGGGATTTCACACCGGCAAGAGCGATGTTTTTGGCTAGATCAGTCAGAACGTTCTGATAAGGAGAGTGCCCGGCCAATAACCGCTTGGTTAAACCTACCAATTTCCACACCCAGGCCCTTCAGACCCACGACCAAAACGTTGGACGATCCCATACGCTTCATGGCCTCGTGACCAAGAACGTACCTCGAAAATGTCAGTATACAAGGACACTCGAGTCTCACTCAGCGCGGGGCACCCACAATTGCCGACTGTAGAGGGACTCGTCGATTTCCCCCTGCTTGATCATCTCGACGGTTTCTTGGGGGTTATCAACCTGCATCTTGGCGTCCTTGGGATGTATTAGCGGCAATGCAGTTATTTGCGGAGATCAGCCATACCGTCATGATTCGTTTCTCTGACGGAGCTCCGATGTCGTCTTCGGACGCTCTGCGTTTGTTCGGCTTAGCCGCGTCTCGAACAGGAATATTGGAACGAATGATGAAAATCAGGAAGTGAAAGCCTTGCGGGGAAGCAAGACTTTCGACAGTGATGATAAATCAAGTTGCAACGCCAGCGTACCAGGTACCTAGCTCGACGAGCACAAAGAAAAATAGCAATCCGAACGCAAACGACGGATCGCGGAGGAGTATGCAAAGATAGATGTAAGCCGTAGGGAGGAAGAGCAAAAGAAGGAAGAAGAGAATAGAAGTTGAGTGAGAGGTCGAGGGACCCAACGACGTAAGAGTGGAGGGGACAGCTATGGGGCTGACTAAGGAGGCGGTGAAGAGCCCCGCGATACTTTGAACACTGGAAGCTGTAAATGAACGTGTTGAGAGTCTTGGGATCATTGAACTGGTATTTTAATGGTCACAATTGATCTTGAAAGATGACAACAACCCCTCCCGTGCTGTGCCATCTTTGAACCTCGTCATCCGACCCCTCTACGACGCGCCTCGGCATCGACGCGTAGCTCGGTGTCGTCAAACGCCCGACTTCTTATGTGTCGCTTCGAGTTTGTAGGCCGTGGTCTATTATACTGGCAGCGTCAGAACTGTCCAGGGGACAGGAGACGTCTCTCCAGGTGAGTCTCATCCGAATCTCAGTGTGGTCTGTCAGTAGTTGACCCCCGACAGTGAAATTCCGTCAGAATGCTCCACGAGATCCTGCTCTCCCTCTCCGGCCAACCGTCGCCCCTGTTCGGCACCCAAACGGGGAAAGGCGCTGTCGCTCAAGATGATTTTCCCCTTCTCTCACCTCCGGAAAAAGCCCTCCTCGCATCCGTTGCCCACCTGAGCCGGCTGCACGCGCAGCTACGAAAACACGCCTCCGACATTTCCTCCGTGAACCCATCCGTCGTCTGCCGCTCAGTTTCTACAGCTATTGTGGGAACACATCTAAGTGAATTTCAGAAGAAAATCTTAGAGGTAGAAAGGGCAATTCTTGCTGAAGATAGTGCATATGTCGGAGGATATGGTATCGTCCCGTTGTCAACGATTGTTGGAGAGTTCGCACCGTGGACGCGGCGCATGGAGTGGCTCTGGGATATTGTCCAGTTCATTCAACCCCAGAGGAAGAAGAGCGAACGCCCCAATGGCTCTACCGGTGCAGCACTCATTGATCATCTTCGGACCGAGGCTCACACGGGATATCTTGATATCAAAGAGATGGCCTCGCATTTAGAGACATCTGCAGAGTCAGCATGGATGAAACAACTTTCCATATGGCTCCTTCACGGGGACCTTCCTATGTACGGCAAGGATGACTTCTTCATCCAGGAGGATTTCGACTGCGAAGGCGATGAGACACAATTTAGGATAAGCAGCCATTTGCTCCCCAAATTCGTTACGACACAAACGGCAGGGTCAATATTATTTGTTGGCAAATCGCTAAACCACATTCGGGCAAAACGGAAAACTTCAATGACGGGAATCTCTAATGCACCTGTGACTCTGTATCGTGAACACATAGAGCAACTTGCAGGCTTGAAATCACCAATATCACATGTGAAGCTATCATCTGCTGTCGATTGCATTCGTCTTTCCCTTTCCCAGTCAACCTTGTCGAAACTATTGCCACTTCCAAAAATTCTCGAAATCCTCGATTTACTTCACGGATTTCTTCTGCTAGGAAGGGGTGAGTTTGCAGTTGCACTGGTATCACATGCAGATGCTCGCCTCGAAGAGAATCGACGTCGTGGTTTAACGGTGGCTAGTAATGGGCCAACTGGAAAACTTGATAGCCTCGCCATCAAAGAAGGAGATGTTGCAACTGCCTTGGTCCAGACATGGGCGGAGCTATTTGCTTTACAAAAAGAAGAGGATCAAGCGGATGATCAGCTTGAACTTGCTCGTGATCTCCTTTCTATCTCAATTAGTGGTAGGAAAAAGGAACGTCCAATGACCCCCGCCCAAAACACCAATCCGATAGCAGAGATCTCGAAAGTATCATTTGAGGATCTGCTTTTCCCGACACCCACACAGCTTACAGCACAAATTCGAGCCCCTCTGGACTTATTCATCTCGAGTTCAGATATTCTCATATATTCCAAGATCCACTCTTACCTTCTGGGTATAAGACGGGCTCAAATACGGCTTGGGGATCTTTGGAAGCGTACATCATTACGCAGAAACTACCCTACTCCATGGGGACCACCGCGAAGCAATAGCGCCTTTGGTCAAGACAGACTAAAAGCAGGACGAGAGAGGGAGAATGCCCGTGTCCGTCAAATGCGCCCAATTTGGGCCACAAGCAGTGCGTCTCTGTTCGTGCTTTCAGAAATAGGCACCTTTTTCCAGGGAGAGGTCGTCAACGAATCTTGGCAGCACCTCCGTGAGTGGATTGAAGGAAGGTCTTCGCCAACAAGGCCAGCATCCGGGTCTCGACCTGGAACCGCTTCCTCTTCCAAACCCCAACAAGATTGTGGAGCACTTTCTTCGGATCATGTGTCTACCGGAGACCCTCCCGAGTCTGGCTCACGAACTATGGGACGGCACGATCCTGAGGCTCTGACTGTTGCTCATCGCCGGCACTTGGCATCTCTCGTTCAATCCCTCTTTTTAGCTGAACTACCATTCACGAATACCTTGCGAGGCATTCTCACAGACATCGACCGCTTTGTCGCACTCGTGATCCGACTGGAAAATACCCAGCAAAATATGGACTTGGAGACAGACGAAGGTGTCGTGGAAGCCATGATCGACTATGCTCAAGAAGAACGTGAGATATGGGAAATGCTGCGCTCCACACGCAGCCACGTCGAGAGAGGCATGAAAGACCTCGTTACGAGCCTGCGGAATATCGACGATAGCCGATCAGGAGAAGGACGGGGATCCGTAGACTTCGGAACGGGCTTCGGCCAGGTGGGGCTCGGACCCCAACGAGAAGACAGCACAGGCCCCAGTTTCAGTCATTATATGCCCCGCAAACCTGCAGGTGTGGACAGACTACTCATGAAATTGGACTTCGGCAGCCTTCGCACCGGCTTCGGTCCCGAAATGTCCGCGGGTCTGGCGGGTATGCAATAGGGACCGAAGCAACCCACGTGCATCAGACTGATCATTGTTTATTTTTTTTTGCTACGTTTTCTTTTAGCGGCCCCTCAGCGCGGGATTGGCGTTTTATGTTCCGGGGCACCGGGTAACATTGGGTTAGCCTGGACACCATGCGGATCGGTTTTCTATCTGTCTCTTTGATTTGCTTCTGGCTGTCTCCATGGAGTTCGAATCATCCACGGCTGCAGGATGGAGGTCATATGTTGCCTGGTGGGCTCTTTATTGAAGAACCCACGGCAGGGGAATGCATACACTGTGTCCTCGCAGATCGCTTTTCCTATTTCGTCATTACCAGAAATAACAGAAAGCTTCCTTATCTATTCCCCACTGGTACAGATGACCTGAAAATAGAGTGCAGCCATCTTCCAAGGCGTTCGAGATCACCTTCGATCCTTCGGTAGTCCGTGTCTAGCGGGCACCGGACTAGGTACGTGTACTACTACAATTTACGTAGGGCTTACTGGACGGGCTACGGTGTGGCAAGGAGGTTCCAGACTACGAGCTTGGGGCTTCCCCAGCCGCAGAAAATATGGGGAAGGCTAGGCACGTCCCTCCAATGGCATTGGTTTCCGCCAGGCATAGGAAGCTCGATAGAAGGAGTTTCTCGTCAATTGAATACGATATTGAAGCTGGATTATGAATTCTCTAACACAGCTTACTGTGAAACACTACATAGTTTCATTACACCAAACATTCGCCCCTTGTGAACCGGAGGTGTCGGTGAGAAGTAAAGGGGTGCCCATCCCGAGGTCTGGGATTACCCGATTTGGACATCCCGGGCTGGGGTGCACATCGTGAGATTACAGATTCTTAAGCCCAAGTGCTCCATTCCTCCCATATTAAAAATTAAAAATAAACCAAAATCCGAGCTCGGGACTGGAGAAGCTGTACGCCCGTGGAGTCGGGTGGATTAAGCAGTGGAACTCGGAGGGTCTTGACATGGCCCGGGTATACCGAGAAAGGAGAAGACGAGATATCTCACCTATACTGCTTCGAAATTTTATTGTGGAACCTGTACCTTTGGAAATCCCGGCCAAACAGCCCGGTCAAAAGACCAAGCTTGAGTCAAATCAAGAATATGCATTACGCTTCCATTACCCGTGAAAGCCGAGTGTTCAATTGGAGGGTTGACATCCCGTATCCGCCACTTTGTAAGCAAATATCTTGGAATTGAGTAGTTCAAACATCGTGAAGTAAGATCGGATTGGCATGGAAAAAAAGAAAAGCAGATTCTGAGCCAATCATGCCAGAATAGAGCTCAATGTGATGGACAATCGTGCATAACTCCCGGGGTCCCGAGTGGGCCATTTCGAAGCTCCGATGGAATATACCGTCTTCGGCGGCACCCAAGGGTCACGATTCTCCAGTGTTGTGGCAGATAGCTTGACCCCCTTTCCCCAACATACCCTCCACAGCTAATCATTGCCTCGGTGGCAAGCTTGGACCCTGGTGATCGTGGATGCTCCCGGCCGATGGAAGTGTCTGGGTCGTTCACGGCGAAAGTAGCTGGTGAATCCACAGCGTCACGCGCACTTCGGGTTGACTTTTCCATTCAAACGAGAGGCAATCTCCTGTGCAGGATCTTGTTGCTCTCGGAAACCTCTCCAGGGAAATACCGCTCTTGCTCCTTTGAGATATAAATATGTCTCCCCGACAGATTCCATGGATTTGAGTATCGTGAACTTTTCTGAGTTGTTGCATCTACACTTCCCTCTTGCATTTCTCGACTTAATAATATATCTCTAACTTGTATAATTCACTCCTCCCTTTCAATCTATCCGATGCACATACCCTCTACATCCTACAGCATGTCTTCCATTCTCCCCAGAGTTATAGCTCCTGTTCGCACACGGCTCGCTGGCGCTGCTGTACGTGCTCCTCGTGTTCTCGTTTCATCTTCAAGCCGCCTATACTCGAGCTCCAAAAGCGCATTCAGCCCTCAAGATATTCACAATGTCTCTCACAATCCCAATCACATTCAGTCAAAGCTGCCATCAAAGAAGCTTTTACGCAACAGCGAGCGATTCAGAGAATTTGATATGGAGGGTCGAGTATATGCAATCACTGGTGGTGGACGAGGATTGGGACTGTCGATGGCCGAAGCATTGATTGAGGCTGGCGCAAAAGGTAACCACCTTTCTCCATTTCGATATCAAGATGAACAAAGACTGACAGAATATCGAAATCTAGTGTACTGCCTGGACCGACTCGAAACTCCTCACCCAGACTTCATTGTTGCGAAGGACAAGGCCGAGAACGAATATGGAGGTGTCCTAGAGTACATCCGCATCGATGTCCGCAACAACACAGAAGTTAACACCACAATGGCCACAATCGCGGCCCAAGACGAGCGCCTAGATGGTCTTATTGCCGCAGCCGGAATCAATCACCTTCAAAGTGCACTCGAGTACTCCCAGCATGCTCTAGACGACGTGATGTCCATCAATTACAATGGAGTGTTCAACTCCGCTACCGCGGCCGCTCGTCAGATGTTCAACTACCAACAGAAAGGCTCAATTCTGCTAGTAGCTAGCATGAGCGGCTTGATTGCCAACAAGGGCATGACTTCGCCTGTATACAACTCGTCCAAGGCAGCAGTCATCCAGCTGTCTCGTTCTCTCGCTATGGAATGGGGCCGTCATGGCATTCGAGTCAACAGCTTGTGTCCGGGTCATATCATCACTCCTATGGTTGACGAAGTCTTCCAGCAAAACCCTGCTGCCCGTGCTACATGGGAAGCTGAGAACATGCTTGGCCGTCTGGCTCTACCCGAGGAATTCCGAGGTTCGGCACTCTTTTGTCTGTCTGATGCAAGCAGCTTCATGACTGGTAGCACTCTACTCATTGATGGTGGTCACACTGCATGGTAAGCGGTGGTATTTTTTATTTGATACCTTGGGGATGAATTTGCATAGAATCTAGAAGCAACGAAAGATACGGACATATTTAGCAAAAAGTTCAAAGAAGGATAATGGCGTTTGGAGATATACTATGAATAATTGCATAATAATTTTTTGAAGGGTATAATATCAAAGGCTTACTGAGGTTAAAAGACAGCTTGTTGAGCGTTAGTATTTCTGAATGTCGCTTTGGCTACGGCTACAAGTTACATACATGAACCCATTTATTTGACTACACAGATCACCCGAAAAATGTTATTCATGAATGCACAGCTAGTTCGCTCACCCAGTCTGCCTAGTAGGCACCAGTATTGATTTGCAGGGCAAATACCGGCTTCAACTTGACGCAAAATAGGTTGTAATCTCAACATGTTACTACCCTATCATCACTATGCTAATTTGCATGACGTACCAAGAGCCAAGGGGTTTTGAAGCAAGCACGGCAATGCCTTTCTACAAGACTTCGACAAATTGTTCAAAGGGTAACGCCAATTTGTGAGCTTGGGGTGCAGAAGAACGGAAATCAACCACAGCAGGTTATGAAAAACAAATACCACTTGCCCCATCTTTCTTGAAAACATGAAATTAATCTTTTTATATATACAACAGAGGTTATAAGTCTGTTCACAGTGCTATGAAGTATTGGTAGTAGGGCTTTACAAAATCCTCGAAATGAGGGTGCCATTTCATGCATTGTATGTGCACTTAGCCTCACTATTTCCCCCTCTTCTTTGCTCAGTCATTCTCAAGTGCCTCAACTGAGCCATTCAGATCTTATAAACGTGGGGGGCGTGGAAAGGACTTAGGTCACTGCTGTATGATTGCCAAGAACAAATGCCAAGGCTCTACGGATGTGCGGTTTATAACCCATTCTTTGTACTGTTGAACGATAAACTTGATTCTGTCCTTAAGCCAAGCATGGTCTATACAACCTACAGTAGCTCAATAGAAATACCTATAAAAAGTCCTGATGTGACTACTTTTCATACCGCTAAAGTACATTCAAAATGAACAGGAGGGCGAAGAGGACCCTGAATCAAGGGGGCCAGTAAGCATTGACAAGGGGCATACAGAACATGCCAAATAGAGATCTGTGCAAACGTGCTAACTGAGTGCGGAGGACGCTGGGGAACCGCAAGGCTGCTCTCAGGCATCCAATCAGTATTAAGAAATGATGCAGCGCTTGTATTCCTGCGTTAAAATTATCCCCAGTCATACGCCTATTGGTCGGGTTTCGATTGAAAAGTATCTTCTATGCGTGGGGCTACTTAGTGGCGGGCTCGTGCGAAAGAAGATGCAGCTGTCCCCCTTGCAGCGACGTGGTAGATCGATGCTCACATATGATCTACGCCTGATTCACGCTGGTCTTAGACACACCGCCACCCCATTGTCTAGTCTGACATAGTAAAGGAAAGTTTGTCTATATCGAAGCTATGTATTAGAGTTTGTCGTCGAGATCTACGCCCAGGAACACCTGCGAACAGCAGCTATAGCTCTATATACGCTTAAAGTGACATGTTGGCCTTCATGTTTCCGTATACAACTAATGGCTAGCTTTCTTTAATGATTTTTCTATGTGGTTGAGCTGCACGTGGCCAAGGTTCAGCACAGCCTTGGAGCCAGCAACAGACGTCACTTTTTGAGGTTTCATGCATTATGACCTCGACAGACCTGATAGTGACTCGGGTTGGCTCTCATAGTAGGCTTTTGGGCAAAGCAAGGAGCCATTCTAGCTATGATATTCCTTGTGATCAGATGCATTAAAGCACTTTCAAGTGCTGGATGTCTAAGAAGCATCAAAGCTATGTTCAACCATCATGGCTATATAAGGGAAAGTCTTCTCCCCTCTAAATGTACATCCTCACTCTTCACAATAATCATAATCACGCTATATCATTGCATCCTAACATCGATTCATTAAAAACATCCCCAAACTATCATCATGCTCTTCCTCAAGGCTCTTGGACTCCTCCCCTTCGTGGCTATGGCACTTGCCGGCTCCTCAAAGTTTGCAGACACCTGCCAGAACGTTGATGGCGAGGGCACAACTTTGCGCGCTGAGTGCCGTGTCTCACGCGATGGCCAGCTGCGAACCAGCTCTATTGACTTGAACCGCTGCCTCAAGAACGACAAGGGCAAGCTCAAGGTAAGAGAGCACCCACTCTATGTGACTTGATAAATTGAGACTAATCTATCTATAGTGCGGAAAGAAGTAAGTCCAACAAGGAAATGGGTCTGAATCTCACAGAAACTAACCAACTAAACTCGAAACAGCGGTCACTACTCCGGTTCTTGCATTAACTGCACCATGCGTGGCCACGCCGAGTTCACCTGCCAATGCCGCAATGCTGAGCGTGATCACAACTACGTGTCTACCACCATCGATTTGAGTAAGTGATAATGACTCTCCGACAGCCAATGGCGGTGGAATTCTGACTAATATGGTAAATCTAAAGACAAGTGTGTCGCTAACAACCACGGTGAGCTTGGCTGCTAAATGCGCCAAACTTTTGCACCAATATAGTCTCTATGAGACTTAACAAACACCCATCGAGCTGGAAACTTGATCTGATTTGAAGATCTATGAATCAATGATTTTTTTTGGGAGCACACACATTCCCTGTCCCAGTTTTGTTATGAAATGCATGCAGTTTTAAACCCAATGCACAAATTTTAATGTCACATCAGGCAGTACAGATCCTTAGATCCACAAATCAAGGACGATCAGATCCAGCATCGGAAGTCTTCTTGTTCTCAGTGTATGAGGCTTGCCTGGCTCGCTCCCATCTCTTCTCTCGCCCAATCCAATTGTTCATCAAGATCAATGAAGGAGTCATGGAGAAGGTGGCGGCGACGATCCAGATTATGCCCTCGAAAACCCCTTTAGCGGAAATGTTGACCCTTTTAAACTCCCATAGAGAAAATACCATGAATATCAAAATAGCCCAATCAATGGAAACAATGCTGGCCTCATCGCGCTCAATCGTAGACTCCATCAGAGCTCTTCCATAAAGCTGGTAGAGATCGCTTCTGAATGTCAGTAATGCCACAATAGACAGAAACATGTTCACCAGGAGTACTGAATACACAGGCCAGATGTATTTATTGTCAAATACCCCTGGCTTTCGTCGGTTGGCAGCATGACTGTGCTGAGCGATCCATTTGCAGAGACAAGAAGTCACAATGGGGAACATGATGTGTGCGGCGGCCCAGGTTGTGCTCATGAACTCAGGCTTCCAGATTGTGAAGCCGGCGGTTGGGAAATATGTGAAAAGGTAGGCAAATGCCATAGCCCTTCCCGCGGAATGTTCTATCGCCATCGGAGTCGGGTAATAGAAGAGCCTATCGCCAGAAACCCATACATAGAGGGCCAGATAAATTGGAATTATGTATTCCCAACCAATAATTGTTGCGGCGATCGCAAAAGGCAATACACTGTCTTTAGTTAACAAAAATGCCAAAAGTGAACATGGCCATCTTACTTACCTGCTAAGCGCCTTTGGAATGAATAATCGATAAGACTCAACGCACATGCAAATAGCCACAGTTGCAACAGACACGTTGAAGTGAAGCTCCTTTCTTTGAGCGCTATCCAACCCAAATGTAGTAAGAAAATTATTTAACTTGGAGATGACACCAGGCCTCGTTTCTGGCAAAAGTGCTGGTGCCGTACTTTCCACAGACTTAGAGTGTAAGGTCATAGTGAGAAGGAACAGTATGACCCAGGCAATAGTACTAATTGCTGAACGAGCCTGCGGCTTCAAAGCAATTTCATCGTTCCATGGGATCTTACCCTTACGGGCCGGCATGGGAAGATACCTCAGTGGGACAGCACCTGTTGAGCTTTGCGCAAAACGGACCAAGACCCCCTCAGTGGAAAGCTTGCTCACTACATTACGTTGTAAGAAAGCTGAAATTGGCGTTGCAAGAGTGCCAGTCCACTGAAGGAATCGGGCCGCTTTGACCGATGCCTTGGCCTGGGATCCACGAAAATTTTGATAATCCATAAATGCTTTCTCAATGGCTTGATTGTCTGGAGCTGCCGCAGCGCCGGTTAACTCGTCCACTTTATTTGCAAGATATGCAGACGAGAGGATAGCTTGGTTTCCTCCTTGCCCAGTGACCGGATGAACCTGGTTGTAATGAGTGAGCACAGCGCGGATAAGAGGATCCCTGGGAAAAGAACTACCTTATGCCAGGAGTCACCTGTCAGAACAATCCTCCCATGGAAACACTTTTCAAGCAGACCCTCCTCAAGAGCTACCAAAGTGGAAGTCGTTTGGCTTGCATATAGGTCCCCAAATGTGAGACCTGGCTTGATAATGTCGTCCTTGAGCGTCGCTGCGAGGCTTTCCTTGTCTTCTGCTGTGTAGCGAGAAATGGCAGAGCCTCGGGTGGGCTTTTCGTTATTCACGAAAGCAAACCAGTACATCTGCCCATCAGTGCCACCCGCACAGAAGTAACTCCGACTTTTGTTGGAGACATTGAGCATTTGATCTTCAACAACAAGCTGCGAAGGCTTGGACATGCCAAAGATACACCTACACGAACATTCAAATGCTGGAGGGAAAAAAGAAGGCGTTAGCTTCTGGCTCAAAACCGGAGAACCTTGTACAGACCATCGTTTAAGGGGTGCGATCTCAGCTCTGAGAATTCTTTCTCAGCCAATCGTTGCATCTCCTGAGCAACACGACTATGTACGCCATCTGCACCAACAACAATACTTCCAGTAAATACAGACCCGGACGTTGTCTCAGCCACCACACCGTTTGGAACAAGTTCAATCTTTTCAACGGTATGAGAAGTCAGGACCTTGGGTTTGTCCTGGAGATTATCAAACAGAGCCTGGACCAGTTGTTGCCGATGCAGAAACCGAATTTTATACCCAAATCTATGGATTCATTAGCATGTCATTCAACATGAAAAAGTCATGTTAGAAACCACTCACGATTCCTCTAGGATTGATCCCCAACCATCGTGGTGCTTAGCATTTCCATGCTCATCATAGAAGGAATAAGTATTCACAGGCGAGCTCAGCTTCTCCAATACCTCATAGCAACCAAGTTGATCAAGAATGAGCTCGCCAGGAGGCATAAGACTGATGCTGGCGCCAATCTGAGGTGCAATTGTCTCATGTTTTTCGAGAACCACAAAGTCAATTTCATATTTTTCAAGCATGTTAGCCAGCGAAAGGCCGGCGATACTGCCTCCGACGATTATCACCCGAAAGGGAAATTTCTCTGACATTTTCGTGGTCATTTTCTTTGAAGGTGGTAAAGCAGCTGGTAGTGTAATAGGTGAAGTCAACAGGGGATTTGGGGGACCGCTTAGCCCCGATTCAGTCGCGGTGTGTCGCATATGTCTTAGACTTGAATACGGGGCTATTCTGTTGATTCTTTTGATGTGAAATAGTAGCTTGGTGCAAACAGATATTGACCCGGGGGATTTGAACCGACGGCAAACACTCCGACTTCCTAAATATACATCATCGGACAAGGATAGCCACATCACCCCAATTCCCGAGTGTTTGATGATTTGCCAAGGACTGGTGAAGTGGACCTCCCAGCCTCAAGCCTTTGGGGGCCAAGACAGGGGGCCTAACAAGCCTACGTAGCCCGCTCCACGCTTGGACCTCAAAAAACAGCCACATGAGACCCGGGACGAGTATAAATGCAAAATATATGTGACTAAATTATGTACACGAGTCGCTTTTCTCCAGTAGAATGTTCTAAATCATCCCTCCTGCCACCACCCATAAGCACGTCCCGCTCTTCGCCCTGACCCACAGGCCCAGCCTGTTCAACAATTGTGTAAGTGGAATCCGCAACAGCACAGTTCATTCTCTGTAGAAGGATCCGCATAGCCAGAGCCAGTACCGCAACTACAACCATGAAGAACGAGCAGACAGCCATACCACGAACATACCACGGCCCGTCAGACTCAGGATAAAGCCTTGTGCCGAGTAATGGGCCACATTGGCCGATGATATTTAGGATGGCTATGCTTGCGCCTTTGCCTTCTTTTTCGACTCTATTGTCCATTGACCAGGTTATAATCAAGGTAATAGCCGAGAAGAATCCTGCAGTCGCCGGATAAACGCAGATGTAGCGTATGAAGGTATGAGCTGCTGGCGGTAGGTGTGAATGAAAGTGGCCTGTTAGTGCGATTGCTAGGTAGGCTAAGGATGAGATGAGGGCATGGGCTATGAGGTAAGGGCTTCGGGAGCGGCTGCGGTCTGAGGCGTATGCTGTGACAAGGACCACGACGAAGGCGACTAGATACGGGGGCGCTGAGAGGGCCTGTGACTGTAATGGGGAATATCCCATGCTATAGCGAAGGTGTTAGAAAGTGACTGGATTGGAAAGTAGAAGTTATGGCGGACTCACTCTTTAATGATTGTGGGCAAAAAGACGGGCATTGAGCTGAAAGCCACGTTGCAACTAAAGAACATGAACTATAGTACAGAGTTAGAATCTTCTCAGAGAAGCACATGGGTGTTAGACTCACAGCAGCCATATATGCTTTGGGATCTGATGCAGTCTTCAAGATCTCTCGCCAATTAAACCGGCTTCCATATGATTGCTGATAGTCGACCGTATTCTCCTCAAGACGCTGTTGAGCCACCATTCTTTGTCGAGGATTCAAGAATCGAGCTTGACCTGGGGAGTCCGGAATCAAGAACCAAGCAAACACAGCAACAATCACACTCGGGAAACCCTCGACGAGGAACAGTGTGCGCCAAGGTGAGATGGGACCCTCGCTGCTGAATTTGACAATCAAGAATGCCAGACTGCTCGCAAATGATGTCGCTAGTGGTGCTGCTGAAATAAATAAACCATTCCGGAAGGCCAATTCATGTCGGCGGTAGAACAACGACAGGTAAAACGGTACACCGGGACCAAAAGCCGCTTCAGTGATTCCAAGTAAAGCGCGGAGAATGACCAACCCCCAAAAAGAAGTCGTCAGACATTGAAAGGAGGCAACAAGCCCCCAGCCACATACACACAGAGAGATATAGATATGTGGTGGCACAAGGCGGTACATAAGTGTCATCCATTCAAACAGAATGTAAGTAATGTAAAAAGCAGTAAGAAGCCACTCATATTGAGAAGATGATAGGTGAAGATCTTCCTTTAGACCAGCTATCTTTGCATTTCCGATATCTGTACTAAATATCAGCAAAGCCCGTATAGAGGAAACCTTCCGCTCCGGGAATCCAACACATACTCGAGCGATCTAGGAAGGAGAGCAGGTAAAGAAGAGCCAGGAACGGGACCAGCCGTCGATCAAATCTCTTCACTACCTCACTCTCCTCCTCGGATGTATATCTCGGCGCCGATCCGCCTCGGCGGAACTTGCCCTCGAGCTCCTCACTGGGATTGTACTCGTTCTCGAAATCGGATAGAGGGTCGCCGACATCTGGGTGGTCGTCGAAGTTGGTTTCCACGCGCAATGAGCCGATATGTGATTTGGCCGGTCCCGGTGCTTGGGAATCACTGTCTTGGTCATAGGACACCGGCGTGAATCGTGGGTTCGAGGATGTGCCTGAGCTGTCGGAAGATGCCCCCACTGCGGAGGGATGAAGGGCTGTCATTTCTCACGCGGATGCAGGGCTTGGTTGGGATTCTATGAGCTGGGTCGGTAGATCAGACTCTCCATTTGAGCGGGGACCAACTCATTTGTGAGATGCTAGTGAATACAAAGAGAGGATTACGCCTCGAGAGCTTGCAGGTGACCGCTGTTGATCTAGCGATTATGTCATCAAGGCACGTGGATTTGTTATTGGCGCTACGATGAGAGTGGACTAGCGCGAACCATGGATCGCACTTTAAGGTTGTATACTTCGACCGTCGACATTTACGAACTTTCTGTCGATGCTGATTTTGAGATTACCATGCATTGAATTTGATTTGTACTCTTGGACGCGCTTATTTTTGAGTATCTTCACCAGTAACGGGAAATTCAGTAGCAGGGAAAGCAACATCAGCAGGGAAATCAGAAGTAACGGGCATGAAAGCAGCAACGGAGAAAACAGGCGTCCTCTCAAAATTCGACGTATCACTTCCACGAGGACTGCATTGTACTGAATATGGTATGTCAGTGACGGTGCAGCGCATATCTGGGACGGTAAGAGTCAAAGGCACGGTTCCAGTTCTCAGAGACACGGCTGTGGTCCCATCCATCCTTGGCGTATCCGCCACGGCCAGTGCGGTGGTCGTACTCATAGGTATATCCAGTGTTACGCCAAGGGCTCATAGAGGGTGATCGTCGTTCATGCTCGAACTTGCGTTTGCGGCCACCGGCAAGCTCCTCGGCACGGGCCTGGCTGCTCTTAATGATATCGGCGAGCTCTGGAATGAGCTCGTGCTCCTGGTTGAAGGCCTCAAGGTAGCGGAGAAGATTCTCGGCGGTGTCACGGAGAAAGCGGACATTGTTGGAACGTTCGTTGTGGCTGTGGGTAGCGCCGACCTTGTAGTTGTCATCCTTGGCTCGCTCGTAGACTCTGATCAAATTGTCGAGGTAAGGTGGCTTAGCTTCCTCAGAGTAGCGGGTAGAGATACTTTGCTGGGTGCTCTCATGCTCCTGGTCTTGCATATTGGCAGTCCTCACGGTGGGAAGCTCATCGATAGGACCTGGGGCAATCAGAATTTGTGATGGTGGGGTTGAAATGGGAGATATGGCATACCATCGTCCAGGATACGCTGAGCAGCAAGGTGGGCAGCGACGATGCGGTTTGCATCGGCAGTTGAGACACAGTCTTTGGTTCCCAGGAATTCGGCGAGGTAGAACTCGAGGAGTCCATAGTCCTGCATGGTGTGTCCAGTCTCAAAGAGGCGAACCAAAACCAAGTCAAAGATTGTGACCTGGCCATCACGGGAGGCTTGTGAACGACGGCGGACGGCCCTGACTTGGCGTCTCACACCGTGAAAGAGGGAACGGGCATTCTCACGGTTTGCAGTAATGTCACGCAGAAGCTCGCTGGGTTTCATCACGACATTCCATTTGAGGAAAAGCTGCTCCTCCTTGGAGCGAAGGCGCTCCAGCACCTCGCGGCTCGGAGCTGCAGAAGACATTCGCCGGCTCGGATCTGAAAGATAGCGAGGATGTAAGCTCAATATACGTACTGGAAATTGTGATAGTAGCTTACAAAATTCAAGGGTAAGACCAATCGAGTTCAGTGGGAGACTGATCAAGTCTCAGCGAGAAGAGAAAGATGAGGAAAAGAAAAAGAAAGCAGACTGAGCGAGGAACTGGACAAAATAAAGTCAATGGCAGAAAAGGAAACAAGACAAAGAAGAGCGTAGGCAATCAACCGGTGGCCGACTTCGATACCAGGCGGTAGAGCCGAGAGATCATTTGTTGACTACAACTAAAGGCCAAGGGCGCCCACGGAAAATTACCATCATTTCTTGGCTCGCATAGTCGGATTTCATATGAAAGTGAGCATAATCCAAAGGGAAATTTGGCTAGTATAAGAAGCCTAGGTGTGTCTGCGCCTCAAATATTTACAAGAAATCGTGAATTGCATTGTTATCATATCCTATCGTATCTGTATGAATGGGTCTCAGTTCCGCTCGTTCCAGAGCTTCTCGACTTGATCAATCAGGACTGCAGGATTGCTGCCTTCGCCATTCTGGGCGCAGTTCTTCCACTCATTGTTATCATGAATGCACCAGAATGCATCATCTAAACGCACAGTGCAGCTTGTACTGACTCCAAGTTTAGCACCGCGCACGGCACTTTCGCGCAGCAGAGCGATGCCACTCAGCGGTGGTCCATCAGTGTCACCATCATCCGGGTCATCATTTTGTTGGCTGGCACACTTATTCAGTGCGTCAAAGTCAATGCCGTGTTCCATTGCACACTGATGAATGAAATCACGATTTGGGATCTCGGCATAGTCATTGATCAGACAGTTTGCAAATCCCAGAGACCTGATGATAGGAGTTCGAGGGTAGGCTGGTGGAAGAAGGGATTCGTCCGCAGGGGGAGGGAAAGGAAGGTTGGCCGCACAGAGCATAAGCATGTCACCAATGCATTCACCTGGGCCATGCATACACTCTATCTCTTCGGAGCTTTCGGATACACTGGTTGGTGTTAGTTGACAGCTCCACATGAAACCAGGACGGGAACAAGCTTCCTGGTGCCAGGAACTGGTACACACCTGGCAATGAAGGACAGTTTAAAATCAACCTTGTCATAAACCTTTTCCATGGCCGGTAAGACTAGCTTTTGCAGACAGGCCTGAGCATCTGGGCATTTGCTCATAATGTGAGCCTCCAGCGGAATCTTAGTTTGTGCAAGTGTGTTCTGTACACCAGAGATGCGTCCCGTGCTTGGGTTGTAGCTGTCCTCATTTGTGATATCCTCAAGGCCCGGGGTATAGCTCTCGGGGAGCTTTGTGCGGTGCTGGGTGCATGAGGGAGATGGCCTGATCAGCAGGTAGTAGCCGACCAGGAACAACAGTGCGATACACAGTCGACGTAAGAACGTCGCAGTACTAGGACGAGTCGGTTGATCCTGAGGATCGCCATCTGAGTGGATCGGGAGTTTCTCCATGGTGAGGTGACGTTGTTTTGATAAGATCATGTGGAGAGGCGGAACTTCCCCTTGCCCCCATTACATAAGATCTGCTAGAGCCCTGGAGGAGCCACCAGTGACATCGGGATTTCTTAGCTTTACGTATAATTGTTTTTGTGTGGTTGGCGAAGCCCCGACTTCTTCCTAAATGCCTAAACGACCACATCTTCACCGAGACAAGTCTGTCATTCTTGGCTCCGACTTCGGAGGTCATTATGGGGAATCGACTAGCTCGAGTTTCAAATGTACAAGGCTAAAGGAAACTGGGCATTTCTTCGCATGGTACAAGGTATCTTTATGGTCAAGCGTCGTATGTTTGGGCCGTCTGCAAGGTCGCTTTGAGGCTCACAGGTCAAACTTTGATATATAGCAGGGTCATGATAAGCCTGGACACGAGAGCTGTCCCTTGAACCCATGGGGGAGCAGGTGACCAACTCCGGGTAAGCAAAAGCGAGGCAGCAGCAGCCCCCAATCAGATCTGACTTTCTGGGCGAGAACGATCGAGACCCGTAGACAGCACACAATGCTTGGGCAAATAAGTGTCGCGAGATGGGGCTGCGTCTGGATACGGGCATGTCCGGCCCCATCACCACGCGAGCGCCACGAGTATATCAAACAGGCGAATCTCGTATCGAACGAATCGCAGCTTAAAACGCTTTTGGTGCGTGTTCCGGGATCTAAACCCCACTGCTAAATCCCTGTCGTATACCTCTCTCGATCTTCACTCGCGGCCGTGCGGCCGTTTCGAAACGCCTCGCAGGGTGTATTTTATTTCCAAAAGCCAAAAATGGCGTCAGGACGAGTATGGAGGGAAGCCTGGCCTCTAGCCGAGGTGTTTAGCCTTCTTTTGACCTCCCTGGAAGGGCGTCAGATGGTCCCGGGTAGGGTTACATAGTTCGGAGAAGAGTGTTGTAGAGACGGAGTCGTTTGCCTCATAGAGTATAGAAGTCTTGACTTTCTCAGCAACGTCGCATCGACGATACATCGAATGCTTGAGATCACACTAAACGCAACTAAATTTATCCATTTCCACCCATATGTACCTTGATGCTCTTGTAGCTTCCCCACTCCAACTCACTTTAAGTTGAAGAAAAAAGTTACGTGGTTATTTGACTTGCTCTCTTCTTCATTTCTCTCTTCTCTTTCTTCCTTTTCTTTTTTTCTCCTATCTTAAGCAGGGAGTATACTTCATTCTCCAACTCCTGCCTCAGGCATCTAGGGATATCGGAAGATTCGCATATAGTCTCTCCATCCCCCTGAGATTCCTATTAATTTTCTGTGATCAGCGCATACCGAAGATTCCAGGGTACGTAAAACATGACAGGTGCTTTTATCTGTCTTTCCTGGCATGATCGTCATGTTTCTGTTTTCCCCCGCAGCCGCCCCATCGCCCTGCAGACCGCGTCACCGAAATGTTCACTCCTTATTGCAACCTCACTAACGCACGAAACTAGGCTATATTAGCCCCCTGTGTGGTAGCTTATCTCCAGGGACATGACCGTGTCCTCTCCCAACATTCCCCGTCTTTGTTGAAAACGCAACGGCTGTGTCAGGCTCGGGAACTGCCAAGACTTATCATTTGCGACACCCGTATACTCAATTCGAGGGATTCGATTTCGATATATCTGCCATCAACTTTGCATAATGGCATCTGTCAAGTCAATATCCGAAAAGGACAACGATGAGGAGCGCGACATGCCTGATGATCTGGTTGAGGAGGACCATTACGAGATCAACTCGGAGTACGATGCCGTCCAGCGAGAATATCTTGCCCATCATCAACAACTGGAAGAATTCCTGTCGCCCATGTCCCTGGATGAAGGCGTGCTATATAAATTGGCACGACGCTTTTCCACCACATATCGACATCTGGCGTTGACATCGGACCAGCAATTCCTCCCGACACCTGTGACTCAGCTTCCTACTGGCCAGGAAACTGGTCGCTATCTAGCGATCGATGTAGGAGGCAGCAATCTCCGGGTTGCATTTATCCAGTTGCTTGGAGAAGCTGTCGACTCGGATGTTCGTCCCACTGATGCCACTGAGAGATCACGGGACACCATCCGAAAAGCCCAGCGTCAGCGCGTGAAGCGGACATTGGAGCGAGCCTGGCCTATTCAAGAGCATTTGAAGATGGACAAGGCCGAGGACCTGTTCTCTTGGATTGGTGATTGTATTGCTGAAGTGGTAGCTGAGAGTCTATCATCCGATGCGACGAAAAAGGATATTCCTGCTGAACTTGATATGGGCATCACATTCAGTTTCCCCATCATGTGAGTTAATCCAACTCTTCAGCTCATATCACTGGGATCTACGGGTCTGTTTCTTGTTTGCTAACTGTATAACAGGCAAGAATCATTGGCAGAAGCTACATTGATGCCCATGGGCAAAGGCTTCGCCATCTCATCTAACCTGAATTTGGGCAACATTCTTCTCGACGGCTATGAGAAACATACAAAACGACCAGATGATGACGATGAGCCCTCATCCAAACGCCGCAAGCTCTTCGCACTTCCCAAACTGAAGATCCAGGCAATTACCAACGACACCGTGGCTACGCTAGCCTCCCTCGCATACAAGGTCAAGTCACTACCAAACAGCCGAGTCGCCATGGGAATCATCGTGGGAACCGGCTGTAATGCAACCATTCCAATGAAGCTAGACGCACTACACGAATCCAAAGCCAAGAGTGTCAACACAATGGAGCCAAGCGCAATAGAAACAATCGTCAACACCGAATGGACCATCTCAGGCGCCGCACCACCCCTCTCAGAGCTGAATGTGACAACAAAATGGGATGTCGAACTGGACCGGGCCTGTGCGCGTCCAGGATTCCAGCCCTTCGAATACATGACCGGCGGCCGCTATATCGGCGAACTCATCCGCCTAATCCTCTTCGACTACCTCACAACTATCGCCAACCTATCTAAACGCTCCCTCCCCGCAAATCTTATCCAAGAATACGCCCTGACAACAACCTACATCTCCGACACGGTAGCCAAAGCCCGCTCCGACCCCGACCTCGCCAAAGCTCTGAACCAATCCCTCCCCCCACCAGAAAGCAGCGACTGGCGCTGGGATACCCGGACCGCAGGCGCTTTCCGCAAGATCGCTCGCACAGTGCAGAGACGCTCGGCGGGCCTAATCGCCTCTGCGGTCGTCGGTTTACTAGCCTGCGCGCGCGAGATCGAGTTGAAAGAGGACAGCAACAGCAACACACCCGAGGGTGCCGCATCGCCACAGAGCAACGGTGAAGTTGCTACGCAGGATATTATTCCTGCTGCGCCGGACACTGCGGTCGCGGCTAACCATGCTATCCACAGACACGTCGTTCCAGTTTTGGAGACGCCGGCAGATTGGCAGTCCGGGCCTGAAGAGCTGGTTGTTGCGTATACTGGTGGTATCATCCAGCACTATCCGCAATTCAAGGAAATGTGTCAGCAATATATTGATCGGCTGATTATGCGGACTGGTCCGCAGAGGGGGGGCAAGTCCGTTTTCTTGCGGGAAGCTTCGGATGGCGGTGTGATCGGGGCTGGTGTTTTGGCTGGCATGGTTGTTCGCAAGTGATGTCTTTGTTTTCCGGGTGGGATCTTGCAATGAGAAAATGGTGTGTTTGATCAAGGTGTCAATGGAATATTTTCTACTTTTTCGTGTGATTTGGGCTCATGGCATAGAGAGGGGGTATTTTACTCTGCCTATGGTGATTTTATGTTGAAAGGAGCGGGTAATATTTCTTAACTATATCATTTGACTGGCTTAGACAAGGCCTTGTTTCTTCAAGTCATAACTATCTTGTCCTTTTACTCTCGATCATTTTCACGCCATGGAAGCCTATTTTACAAGGTTAGATACTATCCACGAAATGATCAATTCTAGGTACTTTAACGTCTTTGGGTTCCAAGTCATTCGGTTTCACCTTGAAAAGATAGGCCCCAATAGACTTGAACCGAATTAGGTGTAGAAAATACCCTGTGAGGGAGTGAATCCGACACAGGAGTGATCTTCCCTAGCAAATCTCGCGACTGAACGGTCTCCGACCACAAAACTTCTTTCTTTGGGAAACATACCCAAACGCATACTGATGATTCAAGCCATAACTTTCACAGCAAGGACACCACATCAGGTTGCGTGGCTCTGCCCAAGCAATCGTAATGGAAGAATGCGGGAGCCCCCGACGCGTGGAATGCGTTCGATTATGCAACGCCGTTATTCTCGCGCGGCTATCAGACATCATAGCCCCGTGAGACACCATGCAAGGTAAGCTCAGCCGGGACCGAGAACGAAATGAACTCCGCTCGGCCAGGAAAGAAGGTCGAAAAGCTTGGGTTCTGACAAATTCCACCCACTGGCCGATTGTGTTGTCTCCGCGTTCTTGGCGGATCGACGGGTACAAATTGAGGTTGCAGGGTCTCGAATGTTTAGTGGAATATACATATTCCCAACATTCATCTGGCCCGATCTGTTTTGTTTACTCTTCCATGTCGAATCCAATTTATATTAACCGGAACATGTTGTTTCGCACGCCGCGTTTCATAGCATTGGGCTTTCCGTCTTCGTATTCGATTCCTGAAGCTCCTCCTTCTCCTGACATTCGTTCCAATCGCTCGCGTAGCTCAGCGTCCGCTTCCGAAACGGTTTTGGACTTGCGTGGAACTGGGTGACGTTCTTTGTCTTCACTGGAAGGAGAATCCGTAGAAGTATTGCTTTGCTCTTGCTCCTGCTTGGATTTGGTCTGATCTGCACATAGAATAATACCAATTAGTTCTGATGCTGAGCTCTGGGCTAAATGTACTGACCTTCAGCTTTTGAGAGCTTTTGTGTTGTAGATAAGCATCGGGCACAGACGCGGAAGTGAGATCGTGTTACTCCATTGTAAAGCCCAATCCCAGAGCTCTGTAGGCGCTTCAAGAGCATATTAAGTGACCAATCAATCTTTTTCAGTGTTGTGAAGAAGTTCTGATCAACGCTGACGCCATGGCCGGCAATACACGTGATATTGATCACGTGCTATCCACCGCCCCCGCGATCCACCGGTACTGGTCAACTGTGCTCTCGACACTACGCTTCAATCTACAGGTCTTATTTCAGAAGCCTGCCATTCACATATATCAAAATGGCATCTGTGGCTTACTACGAACTCTACCGTGGGAGCAGGTACTACAGCACATAAAGCAGACTTAGAAGCTCCAAAGCTAACAAGGAATCTCTAGCCTCGGGCTGTCTCTGACCGATACTCTGGACGATCTGATCAACGAGGGCCGCATTGAGCCCCAGCTGGCCATGAAAATCCTCTCCACCTTTGACCGCGTGGTCACTGAAGTCCTGGCCGACAAGGTTCGAGCCAGACTGACCTTCAAGGTAATTCCTTCCAGTTCATATCCTGTGCGGAGAGGGTTCTACTTTCATTCCAGTTCAACATCGCTAACGGGATCTTTCCTTTCACTATCAGGGTCACCTCGATACCTACCGATTCTGCGACGAAGTTTGGACGTTCCTGATCAAGGACGTGACATTCAAGCTGGACAATCAGACCTCGGTCTCCGCGGACAGGGTCAAGATCGTCAGCTGCAACAGCAAGCGTCCCGGCGAGGTATAAACTGTGATATGGGTGGACAGAGATGGCGTTTACTTTTTTTCTTTGAGTCGCATTGGCGTTTTATCGGCAGAGCCGTTGATTTCGGAATTCGGGCACATATCCTCGAGGCGTTTCCAGGCGGTTTAGTTCTTCATATCTTGCATTACAAATGTCCAAGACATTAAATACCCAAAAGAATGGGAGCTACACATACAGGATTTTCAGGATGTAGTGAGGCAGAATACATGCGTAGGGTGATCTCACCTTATCGGAGATAAAGTCAGCCGGCAATCTTTTCTTTATTTCCCCTCGTCACCTCTCATTCTTTTTGCATTCTGACTCTTAATGCACTTCCATAATGCCGAGAACCCTGCCCTGGCTTCGGGCACAGGATTACACCCAGGTTAAGAGAGAGTCACCACCGCGAAAGCGGGTGAAGACTGAAGCCACTCCGGATCCTGACATCACACCGCAGAACCTCCCAGTCTCCCCCGAGAAGCGCGACTTCTTCAGGTCATGTACGCTTGATTTTACTCGTTCATATTTGGTCTATTCTAATGCGCGGCTCTTTCCACAGCCCAAACACCACCATCCTCGCCAATAAAACGATGTCCGTCGGAAGAGTACGCTCGCGACCACACGTCAAACAGAAACAGAACGGTCGCTAATAATATACAATAGGTTCTTACTCGAGGGCCTCGAACGTGATGATGGCTGGGTCATGGTAGAGGATGAATTTTACGCCATCGCTCAAACATTTACCCAACATCTCCATTATGCGGAGTACCTACGCCGCCGAAAAGAAGTCAAGGTTGAAAATGCAGCCGCATTTGGAGTCATTGAAAGACCCACAGATGGCCGCACGCCGCTTTCCAAAGAGGCTCAACGACAACGAGAGCGTGAGGCCTTTAGGCAACGTCAGAAGGCTGGCTTAGCTCAGTTATATGGCCAGAAACCCAACGAGGTGGATGATCGTGACGAAGATGACGCACGGTGGGCTGGAACGCACTTGCATGACCTCATGACCAGCCCGAGGAAATCACGGTCCCTGGCAGGAACCCATATGTTAAAGTCGTCCTCAAAAGCTGCAGCAGGCTTTTCCCAGACCGGACAGGGACGTACGGGCACTAGGCAAGGTTCAGTGAATAGCACCGGAAGCGCCAAGACAGCAGCATCCCAAATCGTCGAGCTGGATGAAGAGACAGCGTCTGATTCAGATGACGACCTTGATATCGCGCCCAAGGCGAATCGGCTACCGGTCCTAAAGAATACCCGCTCGACACGACAGAGACATCAGTTTGACGATCAGGATACGCCTCGCGCAAAACTACGGAAAAAGCCTACATATAACTCAAAAGGCAAGGCGGCGAATTCTCGGCCTGGGTACAAATCAAGAGTTCAATCACTTTTTGATGACCTCGATGAACTGCCAGAGCCATCTGAGCCAATTATTTCTAATCTCAACAATGTCAAAAGACCGCCTTCCACCAGGAAGGACAAGTTTGGATATAATGAAGTTCCGACCTTTCTTGTATGATCCTCCAAAAAAATGCATCCCGAATTAATTTCCTCCTCTCGCAGATTGATCAGACAGTTCGAACTTCATCCATGGTGATAGATTCGGCCGGGGCCTTAGAATCCTGAGCAATAGCCGAGCTCGACTTCCACCATCGAGGCAGCCTTATACGCTCCCGACGGGGTGTGACAGTCTGAGGCTCATTCTGCGGACATGGTTCTGAACCTTGCTCTTCGTCGATGTCGATGGTTGGAGGGACACCATCTCGATCATGGCTCCGTTCTTCTCTACGGTCGCTGTCCGACTGTCCTGCGACGTCAGCGTGCTGTGATTGGTCTGTCAGATCTGGTCGCACTGTCGGGGGCTGGTTGGGCGAGAGAACTGACTCGGCATCAGAGAAGCAGGCAGGTAGCTCTTCTTTGCGGAAGTTGGTAGGAGGACCCTGCTCCGATACACTGGTTAGCGACCGGCTTTCCAACAAACTTCAAACGCTCTAATGTATGCAATATCCAACTCGACTTACGATTTCAATGATCCTGCCTTTGTTGCGTGTGAAAGGCGCTTTGACGCATCGGAAGACTTGTCGAAAGCATTCCATGTTGGGTTGATGTGGGTTGTGTGATCCGGCAGATGGATACAAGCTCTCTTTATAAAGCGTTGGATCGAGAGTCGTGGGAGCTTGGAACAATGCAGATTGCAGCTGAAATGTCCTCGAAATGGGACAAAGAATACAACAAGGACAACGCTGTGGTGAAACAAAATGCTATACAAGTGACAATGCGAAACGAGGGACTGTTGTGGACAACAAAGAAAAACAACAAAGAAAAGAAGTTGGATGTGCTCTACAGCATCGAAGCTAGAATGAACAAAGAGAGTTCAAGAAATGAGGCACAGCAAGAGTACATATACTACTGCGGTAAGGTTACCGGCAGTATGCACATCAATGCTATTCCCGGCGTGTCAAGGATAAGCTGATCCACGGTCTCGCCCATGCAGGTTGAACTAGGCGACAGCCGGACCTGTGGCATGGACAGGATGACAGGCTTGGTAGGATTCGCTCGTGAAAATACTCAGTACCCTTTACTGAGACTGTGACACATTCCTGGCAGTCCCCTGGCGGCAGCGGCGGGTCCCCCCTGGGAGATTGCTTCGGGGATTGGCTGTGGAAGCAAAGGCCCAAGTGCCTGTGTGCCTATTCCGGCTACTTGTGAACATTGAACTACTTATCTATCGAACCTTCATACCTCTTTCTGTGCATAAAAGATCTCCTGCCACGATTTGCTGCAAATCATCGACTGCAACAACGGCAGATGGGCATTACAGGCAGCAAGATCATCATGACCTGCAGCCTGTAGAGAATTTAATGCGTCACGAACCCATGCAGATTACAGCAGGCACTTGACCCTCAGTGGAGCCGGTGGAGAGCGAGACTAAAGGGGCAAAAGGGAGAAGCAAAGAAAACCCTCGTGTCGCGCTCCATACTTCATTCCTGTCCCTCTTAGGACAAAATACCCACTTGTATCGGTTTTTAAGCTTCCGTACCATTTCCCCAGCAATATTTCGACAATAGCCAGTTGCCGATCCCAGTTCCCGTTTGCCGGGTCGGATATGTGCATGAATGCGAGGGTCTGTAAAGCTCGGCATCTTTGCCTGCACGATAATCGGCTTTCTTCAAATAGAGAGCACCTTTGAATAGCTTTTTGCCTTGTTTCTTCTTTTTCTTTGTCTCGGATGCTCGGCCGTCAAAGGTACCCAGGTCCGGCAGTGTAATTTTAGATATTTCTTGGATGCATTGCCGACCGTTCATTGTCTTGCAGCCGTGTTGATCTATCATAGATTCGTCACTGACAGGGATGATCTTGGGCTTGTTCTCAGGGTTAGATATGTGGCCAAGCCTAGTGCAGCCGATCCGTATCTGCTGATGGTGATGTACAGTAAACGGTAGTGCTTTAATCTTCGAGCATACATTTTGTATTCATGTCATTTTCCATGATAATACTACGAGACAATTTGAAAGTTACAGTATTCTCTTTTCTCAAAATAGACTACAGTAATAAATACCACATACATAACACATATTCCAACCTGAATCACAATCCCGAAAGGAAGGACGGATTCCTCGCCTCAACTTCCTTTGTTGCTGTATGGAGGCCTGTTCCCTTCGTCACTTAATAGATCAATCATTACAAGAGATCATTACAAGAGATGCCAGCGTAAATTCAATCTTCCGAACCTTGCGGGTGCCTGCGAGGTCTAGAATAGTTCGCGTATTTTTCTTTTGGTCCTCCCTTGCGTCGGAGCAATGCCGAGCGAAAGAACAGCTCACAAAGGTTGTTTTAGGGGGTCCCAGGCACAAAGTTCACGCAGGTACGCATTCCGGCACTATCAATGTGATCGAATACAAGAAAAAAAACTTGCATTTGAGGACTGAAGATGGTTTCGGAAATGAAGGTTGTTGTTTAAGGGTGTTTCATCTGGGCAAACGGTAGCCCTAACTCGGACTGGAACCGCAGGGATGAGCTGTTCGACGCGGGAATCTATTTCCAGTGAAACTAAACAGCAGAGTAGATTTTTAATTTCTGTAGAAACGCCTTATTGAATATTGGAGCCCGCCAACTCCCGTAAACGGATGAATGTATAGCATTAGTGTTCAGTATGCACATACATGGGTGTACACTAGTTCGCGCATCGAAGACGCGCTGGCATCCATACGGTGGAGTCTTTGCAATGCAAGGTGCTTCCAGCTATGTAGTTCCCTACCAAAGAAACCTCGAACCTACATGTACCTAGCTACCTGGATACGGCATTTTATTGGCGCATAGCCAGTGCTAGCGGGTGGTTACCCGTACGTATTTTGAAGCTTGGCTTACATTCTTGCAGACTGTTCAATTGCTTCAGGCGCTACCGAGATTGTTTCTGATCACCTGCCGGAAATTTCCTAGCCCTGCGCTATTGGTTCATTCTTTGGTTGTTGGCTTTTTCGCAGAGACATGCTTCGCCTTCCTAGGTGGATACCCTTGGGCCTATTTGGGCATTGATGCTCTTTTGGTATATGAATAGTGGCACGTCAGTTAGCGAGACGGTTTAGGATGATCCTCGCTCGTGAGGTACCGTTTTCCCTTTCAGTCAATTATTCCATTGGAATGAAGTAAGTCATGAATATCCCCCCTTGACGATTACAGTTGATGAATTTGCTTCATTCCGAAGTGTGTCCATTGCTGTTATCACCACCCAGTCTATATAACCATTTTTGCTTCTAAATCACAGAAACAACAAAATTCATGTCTCGTTATGTACCCATTTATTTGGGGTAGTCCTTAATGTGGTGGCTCTTGAGCTTGACAAACTGCTCGAATCCGAATCTGCTCAGGGTCACGCCACGGCCAGAATTCTTCCAGCCTGTCCAAGCGAGGTCCTGTGAAGATAAATAATTAGCAACTATATTATGAATACTGAAAGGAACTGCACTCACGGGACTAGGGAAGTCAGATCGGTTGACAAACACGGTGCCAGCTTCCACACGCTCAACCAGCTTCTCGGCAGCCGCAACATCCTTACTCCAGACACTGGCGGTGAGACCGAAATCACTGTCGTTCATGAGTTTGACAGCCTCATCATCACCAGAGACCTTCATCACAGGAATTATAGGTCCGAAAGTCTCCTCTTTCATGACGACCATATCATGGTTGGCACCAGTGAGAAGTGTGGGCTTAACGTAATTTCCATTAGGGGGAAGTTTTCAAAAGTCTCGTTGGCAGGAGTCTCGTTCTTCGCGCCCTTCTTGACAGCGTCCTCAATTTGAGCGAGAATAGCCTCCCGAGCCCGCTTAGAGACAACGGGTCCAATCTGGGTCTTGGGATCGGAGGGTTCACCAACACGGTAGTTGCTCAGCACCTTCTTCACCTCCGCAACGAAACCGTCGTAGACTTTCTCATGGACATAGACACGCTCGATGGCGCAGCAGCTCTGTCCACTGTTGAAGATAGCCCCGTCAACAACTTCTTCGGCAGCCCAGGCAAGATCCACGTCCTCTCGCACGTAGGCCGGATCCTTGCCGCCAAGTTCAAGACCAACATTCACAATACGATCTGCCGCTGCCTTCTGCATGGCCAGACCACCGGCCTCTGAGCCGGTGAAGCAGATGTGGTTCACCAAGGGAGAGCGCACCAGAGTCTCAATGAGAGTAAATGATCCACTGTGGAAGAACTGAAGGACGTTCTCGGGAAGACCAGCTTCGGCAAAGGCGGAGGCGAACTGCTCAACAATTGTAGGGGTTTGGGGCGACGGCTTAAGAATAACGGCATTTCCAGCGAGGATGGCGGGAATCAAGCTGTTCACAAGGGTGAGGTACGGGTACTACATAGATATATACATTGATCAGTAGGCTGTCATTAAATCAACACCAACAGTAGTTGGACTCACGTTCCAAGGGAAGATAATCAGCGCAACACCGACAGGCGAGCGCTTGATATACCGTCTAAAGCCCTTTTCCTCCTCTCCGGACACAATGCCTTCCTCGCCAAGCACGGAAGTGCTAATGCGGGTCAAGTATCGGCTGCGCTTGATTGCGGTCGCGACTTCGACACCGGTGTAGGCGATGGGCCGGCCCATCTGCTCAGTGATCTCGCGGGCCAGCTGATCTTGCTTCTTTTCGAGAATATCCAATGCCCTCTCGACAATCTTCTGTCTTTGCTGCAGAGTGGTGGACTGGGAAAACGACCGGAATGCAGCTTGGGCGGTCTCGGGAATCTGCCTCAGATCCTCGGATGAGACCCCAGTGCGGGTAACAACGGGCTCATTAGTGGCCGGCGAGATGGTCGTGATAGTTTCCAAAGACATAATGAGTATTTAATACTTAACAAACTTGTGAAGAGAAGAACTGAAGGAATTGGAGAAGCGAAGGGATGAGGGGCAGTCACGTTATCTCTATCTTATCGATGAAGTCATAGCAACTCTACTCTACTCTATACATCTCTCACCAGTCGAGCTCCAGCCCAGGCATATAGGTAGTTGTGCTGGTACCAATTGACACTGCATAATGTTAGTTGCTGTGTTTGAATGGTAATTAAATCGATACTCACAAGCTGGTCCGACCAGCGATGCGGGGCAAAGTAGCCCAAGAGCCTCCAAGCATAACATTGTGCTTTCCATCGAAAAAGTCCGCTGTTAAGCAATATTAGTACAGCATTGGCTAAAATAGTTGGAAAAATACTCACATGTATATCCAGGGTAGATTTCCATTGATTTGAATCCCTCGTGTGGCGTCAATGGTGTGCTGGTCCACTCCCAGACACCTCCCATGCCACCTTGACCAGCTAGCTTGTCACCATTGGGGGTGACCGGAACAGGATGCCAGTTCTTGAAGCCAACGTTGCAGCCCTTAAGATCACGGAAGAGTCCCTGACTAGCAGAGTGTGGTTTCATATCGTGGGAATAAGACCCATTGGTCCCATTGCTGTAGTTGCCGTTAGACTCTGATATCAGAAGATGGAGGGCTAAACATACCTGTAGCCGTTTGAAGTTTGATGACCTTGGGTCTGCTCAGCGTACTGATAGATACTCTTGACCTCTTCAAAGGTGGGGATCCTGCAGTTCATCCACTTTGCGTAGCTCGCTAGTTCGTCATAAGAAGCACTGAACGGCCAGTCCTGTGCATACTTCAAAGCGACAGGTCCAAATACTGTTCGGACGGCAATCCTGTCAGTGGAAAATCCCGTTGAGTGGTAACTTGATCCAGCTTGAGTGATTGAATGACCAATCCCTCTCGAGATCGGATTGTCTTGCCCTGGGATCAGCACCCAAGATGCGGGGAGTGTTTGGATATCATGAGCTTGCATATATTCAGCATATTCACCGTTGGTGATGGGTCGTGCTTGGGCTTCAAAGGCATGCACATTGGCCGTTCTCTGGGGCTTCTCATTGTCCCAACCGAAAGAACTCTTTGGCATGACCTCTTCATCACAGTCATCCAAGCCAATCTTCAGTGTCTGTGCCGGGATACTGAACCATGTATTTGGCCTTTCATGTTTCTTGGCCTCTAGGCTGATTTCCTCGAAGTTTGGGCGTGCGACCCCCGTAGGTGGCAAGGTCTTGTCACTCTGGAGTAACATATAGAGGAAGGTCTCAAGGTGCATGGCTTCATGTTCAAAGCCAATCCAAAGAGCCTCTCCAAGAGTTCGGTCTTGTGATGTAGATCCTTCCTGTAGAATTGATCGCGCACGGGTTCGAACTTTCTCTGAATAGTCCAAAATTTGGTTCAATTGAGGCCACTCATCGGGGATTTCACTGTGGTTATGGCATTGTTCCGGGTCTTCGACGTCTGGATCAATGCCACGCTCGAAGATTTGCTGGTAATATCTAGGCTCAGTAGGATCCTCGTGTAGAGCGCGAGTCAAATGGATATCTACGGATAAAGAAATTAGCAACGAACACGATTTGATGTCTAGACAACATACCGAAAAATGTTGGGATGTGGCCGAGATAAAATATAAGCGCATTGCGGAGCTTGATTGGCTTCGACAAAAGCTCTTCACGGGGAATCATAGTTTTGGTTGCAAGATCCCACGCAGTCCATAGTGACTGGAAATTTTCGATGTTTGGGATTGGCTGAGGCGCGTATTGCGAAGGGTCTGTGGATGTGTCAAGCGCTGCAGGTGATAGTAAATGGACATCTAAACCAATTTTAGTGCAAAAAGACAAGGAAAACGAAGGAAGGCTCAGATCTCACGATAATCATCAGTGGAATTCCCAAACTCCACTTGAGAGATAAGGTCTGCCTTTCGCCACAATGCATCGCGTTCATCGCGGCCGTATTTCCATGCCTCCTCAAAGACAAGCTTTTCACCTCTAGGGATCTTGATGCCATTGATGACCACATCGACCTTGGGAGCATAGCAAGCTTGATGCCGTCCTTCGTGGCTATCATACCCAGTCAAGATCTCCCATTCACCATGCTTAAAGGCTTCAAAGCCAAGAACCGCGTTGGCATGCACCAGACCATTTTCATAGAACTGGTGGGTGATGCCTTCGCTATCATTGTATGCCCTGAACACTTTCTCTGGGTTCTTGCAGGCATCCAATCCGATCAGCATGAAATCAGACGGATCCAGCAATTTGGAGAATCCGCCCAAGAACTCAGCGGCACTTGAACGACCAAAATTGCCCATTGAAGATCCCATTGACATGACAACCGTCGGCCGCTGTCGGTTCTCTGGGCTCTGCAACCACCCAACGGCGTCATCATAGGTTCCATGGAGACCGTGGAATCCCACATGCACGAAGCTCTCGGGCGAGATCTCGGAGAATGTCCGCTGCAATTCCACTAGGGAAAGGTCCAGCGCGTAATAATCTACTTTCTTTTCTGTTCGCTCACACTCACGGAGCAGAATCTCGATCTTGCGCAGATTTCTATACGATGTTAGATGCGATTGTTGTACTGGGTGTATGGGTAACTGACCCACTACCAAGCTCCACCAACTGTGCATTCTCCGGAATGCGCTCGACTATCCGCTTCGCGTGGTTCGTCAAGACCTCAATTTCCGTGTTGGTAAGGTAATATTCCTCCAGGTATGTAATCTTCTCAAAGAGCTTCAGTCCTTTGGCATCGTATAGCAGGAGGGTAGGGAATGTGCGTGGTGTATCTGCAGGTGGGTCCAAATTCTTGTAGATATCATCAACGAGGGAGAATTCCATGTCATTCTGGTGAATGTCCACGATCTCGACCGTGTCAGTATTTCTCAAAGCTGTAGGAGACATGATTGAGTAATCTATAGAGGTCAGATGAGAACTACGAGCACACAGAATATGAGGAAGGTAAGAAAGAAGATTCACAGTGACGTCTAAAATGACACTCTTACCTAGAAAGAGCTAATGCCTCTATGACAAATTATTAGACAAGACCCGTGGAGCTCTGAAGGAAAATTCAAGCTTGGAAAAGAAAAAAAGCCAGGAAAAGCCCCTCATGTTACATTGCATGGGCTTTATAAAGACCCGAGCAGCTCTACAACCCGGTTTTGTCTTAGTGAACATGTTTGCATCACGACCCCCGCAAGTCTAGATTCATGGGCGGATCGTGTAAGCGGCTCAGGGCGGAACAGATCCAAGTATCAGATTGGATTAGTGAGCCTTTGACTCACCCGAATTATGCCGTCTGACGTCGAAACTCTCCATTGTTGTTTGCATCGCCAGTCGAGTCGCTGAAGATGTGGAGAGGCTCGCGGCTTGGTGAGGTCATAGCGCTGTTTGTCTGGTTTGTATGTTTGCTCTGTTTGCATGTATGTCTGGTTTGGCCGGTTTGCATTCGGCGGTGAGTATGGGCAGTTTACCTTCCAACATTTACTAACTTCTATCCAGTTTCACAGTTTGCGTAGAGTCATAGATCAAAGAGTCGCCGTCGTTGGGCACTTCTTGCATAAATCTGTAGCTCTCTTTCTGAGGATGAATTGATAGTACAAAAAATAAAGTTAGCCTTTGTGACGTGAGGGCTAACTCCAATCTCCGAGACACTATCCAAGAAAAACAAATACTACGCCTTTTTATCAATCTATCATTTTGGGAGGAGTTGTCTTTTTTAACGAAGATACGGTCCGATCTGTAACGCCATTTGTAGAAGACAAAGACCAGCGTGAGATCAATTATTACAATGGAACACATCATTGCTTTCACAGCTCCTTCCTCCCCTGCCTCAAATAGCATAAAAGGCCGCTCATGGCCTTCAAGCAGAGTAAATCTTAGAACAATTTCAAACTAATCATCAAATATGACCCATCATAGTAAGTTTTACCTGCCTACCCTCATCACAATGCTTGGCATCATCCGTCGTTGTCTCTCTAGGCAGCAGACAGAGCCTGAGCCGAGAAATGCTGAACTGGAAGAGCCTCAATCAAAGGAATACAACGCACTTCGCCAAGTCAGTCGAGAGCATATTCATATAAAAACAGCCGTATCTGGGCGCAGATGAGAAAATCTCCCAGCTGACCGAGCTGCTCGTAGAATACAAAGTCGGGCTCACACAGGCTACCTCCAAGATATGGATACTGACTATGTTTCTTCACAGGTAGACGAAACTTCATATATTTGCAATCATGTCATAGATATAGATGTCCTTTTTCTGCTACTCTATGAGCCCGATGATGAACGTCAACCGGGCCACTGGGTCGTCGAAGAAACATCTTGTAACGAAGCTTTCTCTAGTGATGTGGCTACATCCAGTGGCCAGGCCGCTACTACCTATGATGTGACTACCCCAAGTGGTGCGACCAGCTCCAGTGACCTGGATGCTAACCAGGTTTTCCAACAAACGCTCGAGCCTTGGTCTATCGAACGTCGTTGCCTGGATGCCCATGCCCTTTATTTGCTGTATAATGAACCATTCTCTCTACACCAAGATACTGTAGATACACTGCTTAAGGAACCATCGTTTACTGGTCGTGCCCCGGATACTAAAGGCGCTTCGAGGCTTCTGTCTACCCGTGATTATAACCAGCCTTTCAATCCAGCCTCCCCCCAGCCAGAAGAAGCATGGATTGAAGATCTATGGCAATGTTCAACTACAGACGCGTTGCTTGCAGAAGCGGAGCGAATTTGGCTGGATGGTGACTCTCAGTGGGCACACGAGATTGCCGATGAGATTTCCGAGGATCCATCTTTGTCCCGTAAAGACTTTGTGCGATTCTTCACTTCCACATGAAGGAGCACCTGTCTAGCAAACGATTTCATAGCCTATTCGAGACTCACACTGATGGCAATTTTGGCGGGCTTAGAAAAGAGCTCTACCTCGGTGTGCTTTGGTTTATCGAAGCAAAAAACCTCATGGCCGCGGAAAGATTCGAGGATGCTAACTGGTGCCTCAAAGAAACAATAATGAGTACACCACGGTACAGCATAAAGGCTAGCGGATTGCAGATCTTGTGCCATCCAGTTCATGAATTTACAAGTTCATTCTTCATTTTCGGTAGCATCAAAGCATGGCTTGCCTTTATTGTGATATATACTCAAAAGGTCTGAGGAGGTGCATTACTCTCTTGGTTATTTGTTTTTCCTTTTGTCAAATTTAACTTAGATTTCTTAATTCAATAGATCCTCAGTACACGGTGACTAGTAAGTCTCCCAAGGAGGTATATAATGGAGCAAAGCAACTGATTTTGCTATTCTAGGCATGTTACCATCGAAATCCATGTGATGCCTCACCGCACATGAGATTACACATATTTCGGGGCTTACCCCTAGATTTATGGTAGACTCTGCAGAGTACGTGCTACGGTAATGATGTGCACGCCACATCGTAATTTAGCGGGCGATGCTGTTGAATAGGAAGAACATGGGTGCTCAACTCTTGATCAAGCTCTTCTTTCAGGATATTGGGAAAGCAGATATCAACACAGACAAAATTGCTTCCCATTTTGGTTGAATGAAGGGCTAGGTACCTACCTATTTAGTATTGCGTTGATTATGTAAATTTGAGATTTCAACCAGATATTCTGAGAGGACGCCTTGCAGAGGCTTTTGAGGGCCTGGGATCGTATAATTGCTAGTATTGATGTACGAGCTTCCAGAAACTACCAATGAAGCCTAAAATATAATGTTTTAGAACAGGTCACATTGCAAGAAAATCTGTATCTTCTTCTTCGTCGCCTTATCGATGGCTTATTTGTGTTGGGATATACAGGTTGTTCATGGAAACAAAGGCGAACCAACAATGATTAAGAGAATGTATCTATCTAATCAGCTCCATTGGCCTACTTATTCAAATACTATGTTCTATCCTTGTGGTAGCTAGTATCTAACAATAAGCCTGAGAGTCAACAAAGAAGGACAAACACCATCATTATTAAAACTATCGTTTCGAAACACGGCCATTCATTGTACCAGGGACCCTTTCTGTTCATTCACGTCCTGTGGGCTCTAGAAGTCTGGCAAATAAATAGAGACCACCTTGCTTTATCGGCCAGCAGTCATTCCTGACTGATATTTTTCACCTCGTGCATTTCCCGTCACTTCGACAATCACAAATTTTCAGCAATCACACCCCTAACTCATCGCCATAGCAAAAACATGGCGCCTCCTATCCCGTATTCAACTCCAGGCAACCCAGCCGATGCCCAAGGAGACAACCTAGTCTCTTACCTGGTACGCATGTACGAAGTACTCAACAACCCAATCTTCCGACACGTCTCCGCTCTCTCGGTACATGAGGATCTCCATTTCAAGCCACGGATCAGCAAGGCAACCGATGAGAAGAAAAGATGTTTCGACTACATCCTAAATACCGAGTATCCATCCCTACCTCCCAATCTCGCCACACGACTCCGAGATTTAGGAATCAAATTCCTCCTCCGCACAGCACAAGTATGCATTCGAGAACACAACCCCGACGAAGCCGAGAAGCATACAAAAGACGCAATTAATATCGCAAAGTCCATTCCAGATGAAATTCTCACCTCCAGATGCCAATTCTGGCTTGGTCGCGTCGAGTTCCTCCGCGACAACTTCGATAAGGCTCATACACACTTCACCGCGGCACAGAACTCCGTCATGGATGATTATTGCATTGAAGGTGAGGAGGTACGCTTGTACATGGATATCACACGCCATGGGATAAGTGAGGAAAGTCGTGCTCGCAGATTAGAGGATTACAAACGCGCTTGTGAGGCTGGTGTCCGATACGAGCCTTCAAATAATGACTCGATCTCCCTTTATTCCCGCAAGCGTAAGCGGCCCATCAAGACTTGGAAGGGTATCCTTCAGAATCCAGAGCGAGGTATCGAGCTTCCTGTCATTCTCAGTGAGCCACTTTGTGGTAAAATCTCGCCTATCTACGATGGACTACGACCACAGGCTCCAAAGTCGACAGTTGATTCCTTGAAGGCCACGCAGGGGTTTGATTCTGCTTCTGATCTTTCCCCTGCCCGTCCCAACACAGTCTCGAAAAGCTCTAACCCAATCCCATCCATCGAGTTCGTCGTCAATGACGACAAGATCCACGAGCCCTACCGATTCGGTATCCCAGTTGAGGCTTCTCAGATAAAGAAATTTACATTTGGCTGCGTCCATATCGGCGTTTCAAAACGCTCCCGTCCAACGAATATTTTTCCACGTCAACCTGGTGAGTTTGTGATGTCCAACCGTGACTGGGAGTCCATTGAGAAGCGGGCTCGCACGGAAATTGTAACTATGGATTATTTGAGACGTGAGATGGAGGGATTGGCTATGGTTGCTGAAGACATCTGAGTTTTATGCGATTTGGAAAATTATGTCATGTTTGGTGGTGTGGAGAATACATATTCGGAACCAGGACACATAGGATATTTGGGTTGAGCGATTAGTTTCCTGTTTTGAGATATTTGAAAGATAATTCATTGGCGAATTACCTCTACTAATCATTTCCACGCTATAAATTTAGTTTTAATACCTTCCTTGACACAGGAGACTGATGTTTGGAGTGCATTAATTCCACCAATATTCTTTTTGATCATAATGTCAAAGATGCCAAATCTTTCTATCAACTGGTTTCCTGGTCTAGCGGTTATGATTTTCCGTTAACAATTGCTTCAAGCAGGTGTTCCGGAAAGGTTCTGGGTTCGATTCCCAGGGAAACCATTTTTTGCATCTCGGCCATAGGTGGGGTGGGAGGAACTTATACTATCAGGTATTGGTGGTATACATTCTCAATTTTGTCAACTTATCCACCAATTTCATTGTATAGAGAGGTGTACACAAACTCCGAGCTAAAGGTACAGATATATAGAACGTGTCTACCATGCGTATTTTCCTGCTGACTCACGTGATTAATTAATAAGCAGAATTGCAAAAGTACTCAGTTAAAAGTACTAGAGCTCCTTTAGAGATCGTAGGAGGATATATGGCTGATTATTTTATGCAGCAGTGCTATACTTATACACACTGCTCGTTCACGAAAGGAGAGTCAGTTTGCAAACAGCGTTATACAAGGGACACTGACAGTCTAGACAACTTATGTTTTACCTGGGCAAATGAATCTGATAATGGATCCAGTTATAGAAGCAACAGAAAAAGACAAGCAAATAGTAAGCAATTAGAGGAGGCCTAGAACCTCAGACATGCATGCCCCGACACATACTCTGTGCATGTAGCAGCGGAAAATACCCCCAGAGTGACCTAGCGGCCCCCGGATCTAAACTAAGACCCGACCCAGTCTCGCAAGAACTTAAACAATCACATTATCTTCATCCAGTAGGAGAATAAAACTCAAAATAAATAACCCAGAAATAATATTCAATATTTTATAGCACTTCAGCGCCCATGGTATATGCAACAAAAACAAACATGACCACAAAGAGTTAATCCTGAAAAATAATTAAGTTTTACACATATAACATCGCTCGTAGCGAACCAAAGATTTAAGAAAGGAAATGAGGGGCGTTGAGGACCAGGCCCATGAGACAACCACCAATGGTGCCAGCAATAGGGATAGTCATGATCCAAGCAAGCAACAAGAGACCAACACGCTGCCAGTTAACAGCCTTGAGGGAGCCATTGCAGAGACCAACACCGACGGTAGCACCGGTGATACACATGGAGGTTGAGACGGGTAGGGAGTACTGCGAGAAGACGAGGACGGTGATGGCGGCGCCCATTTCCATGGAGGAACCGCGGGATGGGGAGTGGTAGGTGATCTTGTTACCCATGACTATAGATTGTGAGTTAGTAAATGAGAGGAAGACTGGGGGTGATTTGAAGCAAAATCTTACCCTTCATGATGTTGTAACCGTATGTGCAGAGACCGATAGAAATGCAAATGGCCAAAACAGCAAGCTGCCAGATAGGAACGGGGTTCTTGGACTTGGACGGGTCACCAGTCGACCAGGCGGAGTAGATGGCAGCCCAGGGACCGACAGAGTTACCGATATCGTTGGCACCGTGAGCGAAAGAGGCTGTGCAGGCAGTGATGATCTGGATGAAAGAGTAGGTGTGCTCGACCTCGTTGGGGTACTTCTCGGCGTGGGCGTAGACGCGCTTCATGCGCTCTCCCTCGGGGGTACCCTGAATACCGCTCTGGGCACTGTGAATGTCGTAGTGGAAACCATAAAGGAGGCCGACGGTGAGAATAGCTGGGATACGCTTGGCCATGATCATCAAATTCTTGAGCTCGTAGATCTCACCGGAGCCCATGGGGTCGTCACGGAGGAGGCGCATACCCCAGCCGAGAGGGCCGCGGCTGTTGAGGAGCTTGGCGTTGTGACGGGCATCAGATGCGGCCATGAGTTCCTTGTAGGAGAGCTGGTTGGACTCGAGCTTGTCGATGGAGCGCTCCTCGGTGGAGGCAGCGACGGAGGTAACACCGACCTGGGCTTCCTTTTCGTGGATGTGGAGGTGAGTGTCTTCCTCCTCGTCATCCTGGATAACGGCGTAGTTGGGGACCTTGGCAACCTCAGAGTCGGTGGGGACGGGGCGGCTGAAGAGAAGAGGACCCTGGATAACGTGATACCACTTGACAGAGGCATCCTTCTTGATGATGCGAGCGTGCAACCAGGGGACGAAGAAGATGGCGGAGAGGATGCAGACACCGGCACCAGTGCCGACAGTGACGGCGGCAATGTACCAGGGGGCCTTTTTGCTCAAGCCAAGGTTAGGAGAACCCTTGTAAACGATGGAAAGGGTACAGATGGTGGCGGCAACGAGGAAGAAGAAAGGAGCAGTCCAGACGGCATAGGGAATAGGGTTGCGGCGCATGTGGACGATCAGCTTGATAAGCATGAAGAAACAAGCACCGAATCCACCAGAGATGACCGGAGCCATGCCAAGACCAGCAAAGATGGCGCCGAGACCTTTTCCGTTGTTCCAACCCCACTGAACCTGGGAAGCACCGACAGTAGCAACACCGACACCAGCAACGGCAGAGATGAGAGAGTAGGTTGAGGAGACGTGAGCAGAGTGACGGGTACACCACATCACCCACGAGGAAGCGGCAGCGAGAGCACAGGTGAAGGCGAGCATCTGGACACCAGCATTGTTCTGGAATGCGGAGGTAGGAATGATGCCGTTCTTGATGGTCTCAGCAGTACGGGCACCGACAGTGACGGCTCCAAGGAACTCGAAGATTGTACCAAGGACCATGGCCTGGCGGTAGGAGATGGACCGCGAGGAGACACTGGTAGCCCAAGAGTTGGCGACATCGTCTATTGAAAAGGAATGTTAGTATAAATTCCAAGTTGGATATAGGAGAAGGAAGTAACTGACTTGCTCCGTTGTTGTATGCATCAAGCATAGCAAACAAGGTGCCAATGGCGAAGATGTAGTCGTACTGGTGGAGATACATCTTGATGGCTTGATGGCTTGGAGATCAAGTCAAGGCTCTGTAGGGCTGTCGGTTGCACAGAAAAGAAAGCAAAGACCACGGCTGACAGGGCTTTTATGTACGGCAGATTTGTAGATATGGCATTCCACGCGCGGTACGCCCCGTAGGTAGGCATACTTGACATGGTCCTCGCAGTCCCATTGCCCCTTTAGGAAACTTTGACCACACGTGCTGACCGGACTCGCAATGGGAGGACAACAAGGCTCGCATGTCTCTTGGCAGAAAGCCAGAGCCAGCCGGAGTGATCTAGGTTGGGGTTGTTCGCCCTGGGGTGGCTTAGAAGGGGGTTTCTGGTACAAGCGACCATTCAATGAGAAGACAGTGCCAAGAAAAGAAGCTCGGCTCAGCAAGCTTAGGTCTCATGAAGCAATTTGGACAAGATCTTGGCAGGGCCGGAGCGGACGAGATCTTTCCATACTTCAAAGTGATGTTATTGGCTGGAGGTTGTCTTGGCACATGTGGGGGCGCTCCTCCCCCAACTAATCAGAGCTCGGGCAGTCCACACGTGGGTTGAATGTAAGGCTCCCCGTTCCCCGAACTGATCACTTCCTCATCTCTCTTTTGTCTGTCTCCTGATGTTCTAGAAGAATTCGCTGATGTTACACGCGACGGCTTGGCAAACGGGCACTCCGAGCACGTGTCACTATTCCCCTTCTACCACGACAGCCTGGAACTGGAAATGAGATCCGGAGCTCGGAGAACACCTCCAGATGTGCAGTCTAGGTCGTACCGGAATGGACAACACGAGAACACGCACTGTCACACAGCTCAATCCAGATTAAACCTGGGTACACACGTTAGAATTCTACGGCAACATCCACTGCATTCTCACTGCATTTCTCGCATGATTTCGGCCCCACTCAGCTCAAGGCGTTCGCATAGGCGCATTCTTGAATCCTCCGATCTGGCCTGGTTCGCATGACCTCGGGTGAATTGGCCACTGTCCGAAACAGCTACAGGGTCTTTTAGCCCGAATCCACCCATCCGCACTTCGTGTTTTCTGAAATCATTCTTACTGCCCATGATAGGCCGGGGAATTCCTTCAATGCGCTAGCTGATTATGATCTTTTGCCACGCCCGGGCGGAGAGTGGGAATCTATTTCGGGCGTACAAGCGATGCGCTAGAGGCGAATGTAATAAAAAATTCATCAAGCCAGATGGACAAGCTAGCGGCGAAAGATTCCATTCATTGATTGAGAACGTGGCAAACAGTTCATTGCTACCTGTGGGTTTGGTTCAGCTAAACATCGCTAGTGTTCAAGCCCAAATTCTCCTACCCCGGAAGGCAATATTGTTCACGAACTGTTGCCTACCAGCCAGGTCACGTTGTCTGACAAATTTTCTAGAAATACTTGTCAGCAAACTCCTTGACCTCTCTTACTTTATGCCCATGCATATCAACCTGGCTTAGAGTAGCCAATTGACCAAAGCATTCGAAACAGGGCCTCATCCATTTGATCAAGGCCTTCCAATACTTCTCCACACCTTCTTGAGCCCAACCCATGGTTACATCACAGGGAACGTATTTCTCTGGTGATTGCACGGTAAATAATTGAAAACACTTCAGTTTTGGAAGAATCGATACCCAAAGTGGAATACCCGGTGTGCTCTTCCCGAATGTCGGTCCATTTGGTTCCACCATCAATGTCAAATATCGTATACGGCGTCGGTTCTCATCGCTGAAGAACTTCCTGAGCCTCTGCTCGCCCAAGTCACTCAAAGAAACTTCTATCAAATTTTCACCATAGAAAACATCCAAGCATTCTTGGCTAATTTTTTTTGATGCACGAAAAGTTTCAGTCCACTCGAATAACCGGGTCATCTTCGTCGTCTTCGTCATCTTTACAGCAACCCAAACAAGGAAAAAATAGCGAGGAGCCCTCTTCCACAAATTTTAACATGAAACAACGCCTCTGAAGAATCCGATATGTGTATATCTGCCGACAGATTTGGAAGGGAAGGCCGAGGAACCCCAGAGCGGAAGCCCGAGACTGTGCTTGGGTTATCTCCGTGTCTTTGAGATATGCCAATATACGAGCATATGATGACCAGTTGCCCTGTCAGCTTAGTATTGGTTATCTCCAAAGCAGAGTGAAGGCACAGATAAGGAGAGAAAGGTAGAACGCTCTTATAGAAATAGGTGTTGTAGTGGGGGAATTGCTTACTGCATGATTCATGAATTAGCGGTGTATTGGATGACTCGGGCTTTTGTGATATATAAGACTTCCTACTAGCATAATAGAGACACAGACATACCCTTTTCTTCACTACCATCTCTATGTGCTCTCGTCTCTTATATTCCTACTACCCCCAGTGGCCGACCTGGTTTGCAGACATACAGGCAGGGTCGGGTTCCCCTCCTTAGTATGTGAATTTTGTTATCCTTACATTTAACATGTTTGATATACCCAAACAATCCTTCATTCAGCATGCATTCAGACTTGCCTCATTTGACATCTGAATCTGTGAGATATCACAATACAATGCACCCAACAGCAGCTGATTGTCGTCAACGCATAAATGGCGCATACATAGTACACTGATACTTAAACGAAGAGCATTGTTGTTTCCACAGCATCATTTGTAATGCAAATCTTTGACTATTTGATACCCGAGTGTGTGACACTGAAAAGCCAACGAGATATTTCTCTAATGTGACTAGATATTATCATACACGCTACATCAATAGATTCATCCAGTAGGCAGAGGAACCAGTATATAATCAACTTCTTATGAGACTTCTAGGGTAAAGCTACATGTAGACTTTCTTCAAAGCGACATAATCGGCCATAGAACACAGCGATTCATTCAACATTTGGTCTATTAAAGCAGTAAGTAAACCAATATAATACATGTCAGACAAAGATCTCCATATCAGATAGAATTTGTTGGTATACATACACAGCAGTTCGTTCTACCGCTATCGCCATGACAAACAAGTGGATGGCTAAAACAGATTTTAGAGGGTATATAAGTTGACAATCACTGGAGAAATTAGAAGCATAACTCACGTCGTTGGGCAAAATTCGGGCAAGTAGACAACCTGTATTACAAATTATATCAGCCTTTAGGGCTCACCCTGAAACACCACGACACCAAAAAAGAAAAAGCAAAGCAATGGAGACAGGCCTTACCACACAGTTTTCTCGCTCCTACGCAAGGTTAGTAATAGAAAATGAACTCGAAAGTCTCATGTACTGACTCTTTTGTCAAAAGTTGGGGCGGCATATGCCACGGCGGCGAGAGCGAGGATGATAGTTGTGAGGCGCATGATTAAAAATTGGCCACCAAGAGTGATACTGTGTAGAAGATATAAGAAGTGCCAGACAGGAGGAAGGCATATGATTTATATACCACCAGGCAGGTGGCCTAAATGAAGCTCCATACAGAGTTCATGGCACGCCTTACAACGCAAGTGTATGCCACCTGACTACTTCTGAGACAATGATCTACTACGTACACGGTAGAACAACTCTCACGTCATCACTTATAGAAAAAAGTATTACAAGGATGCCTGAAGCTAGAATTGGATGGTAATCTAGCTGGCTCAACTATGAAATGATTTTGACATGATCTTTAGGCCAGCCAAAGCCAACCAAGTGACAAAACGACAATAAAGCAGAACAGAACCAAGATCTAAGTAATATGCATTAATTGAAATTTTCGCTAAAATCGGAAAGGATGAAAGCAGTTATTCTACCGACGACGGATCCTATCACACAAATTCCCCATCCAAGTCATCGGCTTTTCAACGATGACTGTAGGAACAGCTTGCAGAACAAAGCCAACGGGGATAGAAATGAAGCCCAGAACCAAGGAATACGCCCATTGATCACCGGTCAGTCTCGTTATTGAGAACGCCTGGCCACCAACGAACATAATCAAGATTTGGGCGCCCATCATCACACTTGTTATAACAATAAAAAGATAATTGCGGTGGATTCCTTCAATTAGGTTGAAGGATCTTTCTATTTGGCGGTTGCTGTATAGGTATGAGTATTCCACTTTACAAATCGATAAAGGGACTGAGAACGGTGAGGTGACGTACTTGTACATGTTGAATATTTGCATCCAGACATAGGTATTAAAAACAGCAGTCTGCAGCTGTGACGTTTGATGCTCTCCATGGTAGGAGAAGATGGCAGCACCAGCGAAGTATAGCACGAGTGTCACGACCATCTGGTAGATAGACTGACCGATGATCATCTTCCACATGTTGGGTGTTATCAATGGCGTAGATGTGGGCTCGGGCTTTCGGTCTAGGATTCTACGGGGAGGTGGGTCTGTTGCGAGAGCCAGAGCTGCCAGCGTGTCTTGGAACAGGTTCACCCACATCAATTGCACTGGGGTTAGGACGGACTCCTCTGATGAGTCCGCTACAGCGGAGACAAATGCTAGTCCGACTGAGGTAAATGTAATGGTGATTTGGAACTGGAAGGGCCTGATTTTAGTTAAGGGACTCGGATCTTGATAATGAGAAGGCAATCTTACCTGCAAGAACTTCTTCACTGCGTCGCTCACTGCCCTTCCCCACATGATGGCTTTCACAATTGAAGAGAAGGTATCGTCCAGCAAAACAATCGAAGAAGCTTCACGGGCGATTTCAGTACCGGAAATTCCCATTGAGAAACCGATATCAGCGGCTGCAAGAGCGGGCGCATCGTTAGTTCCATCACCAGTGACAGCAACAACCCTGCCGAGGTCCTTGAGCCGCTGAATCAGTACCCGCTTATCATCTGGACGAGACCGTGCCAGAACTTTCAAGTGGGGGACTATTTCTTTCTGCTGGACATCGTTGAGGGCTCTGAACTCATCACCTTCCATCACGATGTCATCTGGACCTGTGATAATTCCACATTCCCCAGCAATGGCTCTTGCTGTAAGATGATTGTCTCCGGTGACCATTCGGACAGTCAGACCTGCCTTGTGACTCATCTGCACAGCATCCCATGCATCAGCTCGAAGGGGATCCTTTAGACCGAAAATCCCTTGGAGCGTGAGGCCTTTTATCACTTCCTCAAAGTCGATTCCTTCTTCATCACCTCGGAGAGGCAAATTTTCAAGGTCACGGAAGCAGACTGCAATAGTGCGCAAGGATCGAGAAGCGTATTGTGTCATTATCCCACCGACATGTTCGATATCAGTCTCTGCTATAGGAGAGACCTGGACTTCATGCATCGGTTCTCTTGTAATAGAAGCACCTTTTGCTAGGAGAATCTCAGGAGCACCCTTGACATATGCACGGTATGAGCCACCGGGTAGCTTGACAACTGTGACCATGTATTTGCGAGATGCATCGAAAGGAAGTAGATCCAAAATTTCAACACTAGCACGGTAATGATCAAGCTGACCTAAGCCTAGGTAATCCTGAGAGAATTGCAGCAAGGCTGCCTCGGTTTGAGAGCCGAGGAACTCCCTACCTCCACCGTCTTGGCGTTCGATTGCGGATGAATTGATTGCAATTGAGTGTTTCAACAGGTCTGTTGTCCGGTGGCAGAGGCTGGTCATGCACTCTGATACAGATTTCATCTTTTCGTTGCCGATAATATGAGGACTGGCTGTGCCATCAGTGAACTGGGAGGTGGTACCGAAAAAGCCCGAGACAACGGTCATTTTGTTCTCAGTCAAAGTACCTGTTTTGTCTGAGCAAATGTCTGTGGCCTGTCCCATAGTCTCACAAGCGCGGAGTTGACGGACTAGATTATTGTCTCTCATCATACGAGTTGTGGCAAAGGACAATGCAAGGGTAACAGCCAATGGGAGACCCTCTGGGACAGCGATCACAACGACTGTCAATGCGAGAATAAAAACATTCAAAAAGGACTGGCCTTTTTCAGAGGGAGTTTCGATGCTGTGACGTAGACCGACCAGAAACTTGATAAAGAGAATCACAAAAAGTACGAGAGCAGCAATACCACCAAAGTTGGCAATATTCTTGGCCAGCCTGCTAAGTCTGACTTGCAGAGGAGTGAACCCGGGGTCAGTGTCAAGCGAGAGTAGGATCCGTCCATAGCTTGATCGTGCGCCGGTTGCCACAACAAGGAAGATACCGACACCCTCTACAATCTTTGTATGGGACAGGATGAAAGGATCGAGGCTGGCACCTTTATGATGAGTCGAACCTAGCTCAAGCGAGCATTTATCCACGGGCTCAGACTCCCCTGTCGCCGAGGACTCATCGCACTTGACCTGGTGACCCCTGATCAACAATCCATCAGCCGGCACAATATCACCTGGACTGAGATGAACAATATCACCAACAACAATCTCAGAAACAGGAACCTCGTGAGTCCGCGCAGAGCGAAGCACCCACACCTTGCGATCTTGCTGCTTCTTATTGAGTTTTCGAAATTTGTGTTCCTTCTGATAATCATTCGCAGCACCGGCGAGGGTAATAACAACGATAGCGACGAGGATCGATACACCTTCAACCCATTCAACGGGAGGATTGCTGGCCGAGTGCTTGGTGCCGAATGTCTGGTACAGACCTAAGGCAAGCGAGATGATAGCAGCACCAGTTAGGAGAAACAAAACGTGGTCATTGTAAGCCGCCCACATCAACCATAGAAAGCTCGGAGGTGGTTTCGTAGGTAGGCGATTATCCCCAAAATACCTCCTCCTATCGATAAATGCATGGTGCTGGGATTCTGCCTTGAGAGGGAGTTTAGGGATAGTCACTTTATCCACAGAGGTTGCATTGGTAGACACAGCGGAAGCATCGAGGTATGTCTCATCCAAGCTCAAGCCGGAGTGGACATCGGTTCGTAATTCCTCCTCCAGACCCCTTACACCACCGAGAAATTGCAGTTTCTGCACATCCCTAGACTGCACGAGATCACCCACTGTGTCGGGGTCGAGTGAGAACGGCGTGAATGTCGAGTCGGGGGATAGTTCAGGGACATTTTTCGATCGCCGTAACTGTGGTATGTGAGTGGAAGCTTCTTCTTGGGAGTCTGGTCACTCACGCGCCAAATAGAAGTCATGCGAGACCCATCGGCCCCCGAAGTTGGCGTCATTGCAGGTGAAAGAGAAAAGACGCCGATGAGTGTGAGAGGAATATGAAATACGGATACGTAAATACCATACACTGTAAGTACGATACTCTTGCGCGTCGAGGGGCCAAAGTGGGGGGACGATCGGAGTGTTAAGTAAAGGGGGAGATTGCCTTGGGCGCACTTCCGCCTTTATAACTGGACTTGGAAAAGTCTACAAATGCTAAGAAGCAGACCATCTCGGCGTCGTAAGCCAGACAACCACCATCCTTCTGGTATCATTGTGATTGGCGAGGAACTAAAAAGAGTCAACTATACATTTGGGAATCGGATACAAACATGACATCTACTGGATTGCCAGGATTTACTTAAACAGTATAGTCTTCTACAGCTCCCATGAGATAGATAAAGCACGGGTTAACCATGCAAATAACCACTAAGTCGAGGATCCCGAGATCTATCATGACGACAGAAAAGAAAATCCCATCTCCACTTTGTTTCTGAGTTTTAAACTACTGTAGTTGCAGGGGAGGAGCCACTTCCCCAGTCCTCCCCATAAATCAACACGCCGATAATTCCACTAATACCCAAAGTCCACCTCCAAACAGGCAGCCTCATTCTGTAAGCAAGATGAGGAAACAAGAGGAGGCTGTGTAGATGTGATGCAGCCGCAAAAGCAATATAATCCAATGATAAGTCTTGGCAACGAGGCTGTGTTGGGCGAGAAAGGGCCGCAAGGCCCCATTTCGACAATTTATAAGGAATATGGGCGCCAAATAAAGCTCGTCAATTGGTTCCTAAATCCATAAAACAGATGACTATAGATGCATGCTAACGGCCCGAGACGCCCACGCCTCTCCAAATTCCATATTCCAATGAGTCTAATTCAACGTTGACTGTGCATTCTGATCCGCCGCTTCTACCCAGGCCACTCTTCTCAAGTCTTCCAGTGCTGCGAGAGTGTCTGGATGGTCTTTACCAAACTTCTTTTCTCTGCCTGCGTACACCGTCTCTGCCATCCCGCCTGCGACATTCCACTTGCTCTGCGACTGGTAAATCGAGCCGAGGTTGGCCATGGCGCTGAGGGTATAGGGATGGTCCTTGCCAATGGTCTCCTCCATCAGACGCAGTGACCGAGCTGCGAGGATCTCAGCGTCGGGCGATTGTCGCTTCAGTTGATATGTCACGGCGAGATCGGCCATGGCGACTAATGTGTATGGATGACGTTCACCGAGAACATCCTTCATAACTGTTGTCGCCTTTTCACCGAGATTCTTGGCCTCTTCTAACCGACCCTGACTTCGGTAGGTAGACCCCAGGTTACTGATGGACATGAGAGTCTGTGGATGTGTCTCGCCAAGCACAGTCTCACTCGTTGACACAACCTCTTTCTCGAGACGCTCAGCATCCGGCCACCGACCTTGTTCACGGTAGGTCGATGCAAGGTTGGCCATGGAAGTGAGTGTGAAGGAATTCTTAATTCCAAACGAAGCCCGACTGGCAGCGACAACTTCGCGCTCGAGTTTCTCAGCGGGGTCCAACCTCCCCTGATCTCGATATGTCGACGCCAGACTCAACTTCCAGTTTAATAGCGAGGCATCGTTTGGAAGTAACGACTTCTCTCCCAAATCAACCAGCTCGCGTGCGATCGTCTCGGCCTCGTCATACTGACCCAGGTTTGTATAGGAGATCGCCATGTTGGCCATGGAGCCCAGCGTCGACGAATGAGTCGCACCAAGCGTCTCCTTCTTCATCTCAAACGTCTTCAAATCGAGCTCTAAAGCCTCCAGCCAGTGCCCCTGACTCCGATACGTGGACGCCAAATTTGTCATAGAAGTCAGCGTCTGCGGATGAGACTCGCCAAGCAATCTTCTGCGGAGATTCGTCACCCGCGACGCAAGAGCAGCCGCTTGATCCAGTTGTCCACGGCCCCAATACGCCGAGGCAAGACTATTCATTGCACTCATTGTGATCGGATCTCGTTCGCCTTTCAGTGCTTCACAGGTTTCCAGCAAGATAATACCCAGATCTTCCGCGATGATCCATAGCTTGCGGTGTAGACATGTTTTTACCAGTGCGCCCAGCTCATCCAGCGTGGTTATTGTTGCATCGAGCGTCGTGTCTGTGGCTCGTTCCTCAGCGGTTTTAAGGGCTGCTTCCAGGCCTGTTGCTGCGTTCGTCCATCCCCGGTCATGATATGTCGTTGCTAGATCCGTCACCCCCCTCTGGAGTGATTCGAGTGAGGGCGGGTGTGTGTCCATAGATTGGGTAATGGACCATTCAGCCCTGTGAGATGTGTGGGGAAGGCGGGCTTTTAAGGCGATATCGGCGGAGGGGAGGTTATGAGGTTGGATGGGAGTGAAGTTTGCGACCGTAGAGTATGCGGCTGAGATAGTCAAGGTGCCGTGGACAGGTGGGGAAATCAGGATTCCATAAGCCGCCAATACAGCCAAGAATACTAGTTGGAATCCCCGTGATTGAGAGTTGCTCTAAGTGGTATAGAGTACGGGTTATTTACATTGACCAAACACATAAGGCTGAAAAACGTTGTTGCCTGTTCAGCCCTATCCGTCACGTATGCGCTAGTAATAAGGCTGAATGTTACTGTAAATTGCCAATACAGGTACCATTCGGGTATTTGCATCTGTTTATCTTTCCCCGGTCGCACCTTCCTCGGAGTTCAGCTTACCTGACTAGGCCATTGTCACAGAATGCATTCTTCTCAACCTTCTTCTAGACTACATCTGGATGACTGCCATGTCCCTGATCCAGACCCTTTGACTCGAATTCGAGCCCTGATCGAAATGCCTGCCCAGGCAGGTCTCAATATCAATTATGGCCTCCCGGTCATGGTCTTGCTACCATTGGCAGCAGCAGCGAAGATATTCGACTGGCATGCAACGATTGTTTTGGTGGTCAACATCGTTGCTATTATTTTCTTATCCGAGGCTATCTCTATCTCTTCCGAGGAACTTGAGGAACACCTCGGTGAATTGCAGGGTGCGCTTCTTAGTGCTACCTTTGGAAATACTGTTGAGCTGACAGTGAGTAATACTTGCAACTCAGATCATTTGTCTGCATTTGAAAAGACTCTAACGAAATTCAGGCGGGAACCCTGGCCTTGGTCCATGGAGAAATCCCATTCGCGCAATCTGTTATGGTCGGCAGTATTCTCTCGGATATCCTTCTGGTAAGTATCAACCTGCGGTATTCCGAGTGAGTATAGTCCTACTAACAACTAAATCAGGTTTTCGGCTGCTGTCTAGTAACAGCATCCTACAACAAAGATGTCCTGGAATTCAACGGCGCTCTAGCAAAGACACTTTCATCACTGATGATGATAACAGCAGTGGCACTACTTCTACCAACAGCGCTCTACTCAACATTCCCAGTATCCGAAATCGACAGCAGGGTGTTATCCTTCTCGCGCGGTACTTCTTTCGTGCTACTTATCCTCTATGCTGGCTATCTTTACTTCTACCTCGGAACTCATAAGCATCTCTTCATCTCATACGAAGACAAATCCGATGAAGAAGATGAGAATGTTGAATCATCCATGCCAACAACGACAGTGAGTCTGGCTTCTTCTGTCATCAGATTGGTGACAGCTGTCGCAGCCACAGTCTTCTGCACGGAACTTCTACTCGAAAGCGTGGGTGATATGGCAGAGACACTTGGGACTTCGCATAGCTTTATTGCGCTTGTATTCATTCCGTTGGCGAGCAACAGTACTGAGGGCGTGACTGTTATTTCCTCGTCGCGGCCTGGTAATGCTGACTCTGCGATTCGAGTGATCATCGATAGTCTTTTGCAGATTGGCCTGTTTGCGATTCCGCTCTTGGTTATTATGGGATGGTGCATCGCCGAGCCGATGACTCTTTTCTTTGACTCTTTCCAGACTGTTGCTATGTTTTTGGCTATTCTGGTTGTTAATCATTTGCTGAGGGATGGGCAATATGCTTATATCCATGGTGCCATGTTGATTGCGCTGTAAGTTTCTCTTTGCACCCTCTGCGATCATGCTTATTGATGCTAATTCTTCTTTCTAGCTATTGTGGATTAGTTGCCGCTTTTTACACACGCTAGTCTGAATACTAACAATTCATTTCCCGATACTAGTCTATTATTCTTTACATGGAATAAAGTTTCTACTCCAGGCATGGTATTGTCGTATAGATTGAGAACGAATATTTAATTCCAAGGTAACGAATCTAAGAGCCCAAAAAGATAACATTCGCTGGCACCTCGGGCCTAACATAAAACGAAAACGCAATGATAGCATACCTAAAGCAAAAAAAAAATTAGCACAACTCCCAAAAGTCGCAAATAAATCAAAACTTACGTCCCAATCAACATCAACCCCTCAAAGTAATTACTCCTCCCATCCGAGATAAGATAAGTCATAACAACAACACTAAGCAAAAGGGTCGTAGCCTCAAACCCATCAAACCGCAAAATAAGCGGCCGATCAAAAATCCAACCCACAAGCACCAAAAGCGGCGCAATAAGCATCGTAACTCTCAACACGGAATTGATAATCGCCCGAATCCCCAACTCAACCTGACTGTAAGACCTGGAGCCAGTCACAATTGAGTGATATTTAACGAAGTTCCCCAAAATAGGAACAATAGTCACAGCCAGGAACGACTCATTCGACCCCGTCATCCTGGCTAGCCCAGACAGACTGTCCACGATGTAATATGTGCACCCGAATGTACCCCCGGACGCAGCAGCAAGGATCAAAGCAGCAATATCCTTCCTTAAATATGGACGGGGCAGTTGTGCTTCGATGATCTGGCTTTGTCGGTGTTGGTGTCTGCTCCGTGCTGTATTGGCATTGGAATCGGTCTGGGCGAATGGCGTGCTGGCGAACATTGCTGCGTGCGTTCTCAGTCGGAAGAGGAGGAATGTCATCAAGAGGGTGATTAAGATCACTGCTGTTATGCGTTGCGTCAAGAGGATTTGGCTCATTGGTGTGCTTGTTGCTGAGGGGAAGACGTCCATTATTGTTGGGATTGCTAGCAGGATAAAGACGACTGTCATTAGGGAGGAGAGGACTGTTGTTAATGTTCGGTCGAAGCGAAGACGCTTTTTGTCATAGCCTGATATGAACAGTGTGCTGCCGAGGACCTAGTTGTATAGAGAATGCGGTTAGCGCGTGTGTTTGTGCTTGTGTTTGTGATTTCGGTAGGGTTTGGGTTGGATGTGGATTGTATACCAGTAGTAGGTTGCTGAGAACACTGCCGAGGATGACAGACTGGGAGACATGGGGCCGTTTCTGGGTAATTGCGTTGATTCCGACCTGGTTGTTTATCGTTAGCTGTGTTGCGCATCGAAGTTTGAGGGGCAGCTCACCATTAATTCGACTGAATTGCCGAGTGATGATTTGAGTAGTTCGCTCGTGGCCCGTTGCCCACCCACAGATAACGCATCGACGGAACGACTGATCCATGGCCCCAATGGGATCAGAGCCAACATGTTGAGTGTGAAAATCGTGGCGCTGTTCAGCCGCATAGCTCCCGCTGCTATACCCGTGAGGGGCAGTAGCACCGAGATGGCCTTGCGAGCATTGCGCTTGTGGTCCATGATTGAGGAGTTCAACCTGCTCATGCAAGTATGGTCAAATATGTGAACACGAGAACATGAGAACAGAGCATTGGACGGTTAAATGAGGCTTTCGTACCGAGTTGAAACATACGGTACCTGTATCGAATGTGTAATTTATGACGTTTAGCCGGCACCGTGACAGGAACAAAAACCGAAACAGAACAGGCATCTGTTTACCTCGTTTTCTATCTCCGGGTACATCATCTCCCCCCCCCCCTTCTCAATCCACCTGAGGAGTGAAAACATCCCTCTGCTAATCTCACTTTCACTTTTATCAAAATATGGATGACCCTGCTGTCCGACTGCGAAAGTCAACCAAGATCAGTCCCGGCATGGAGGGCACCTTCAACACAAACTCGCTAGCCGAAGAACACGAGGCATTACTGAGGGAAGAGCAGCATACTCAACGCGACACTGTTGAGCAGAATGGCTCGGGACTGCGTGACGGGGACCACTCCGAATCGCGCCGTACGTCTCCAGGCAGCTCTGTTCTGCGGTTGGTAAAGACGGTTCTGGGATGCAGCTACTCTAATCTGCTTCTGCCATTTGTATTTCTGGGGATTACAGCGGGGAATCTGGGGTGGGATGATTCCATTGGTTTCGTGTTCAATTTCTTGGCCATCCTTCCCCTGGCGGCTTTACTTTCTTTTGCTACCGAGGAGTTGGCCAAGAGCGTTGGGCAAACTGTTGGAGGATTAATAAATGCGACATTTGGAAATGCTGTGGAAATGATTGTGAGTGTTCCTGTTTATTTGCCGAGTCGGGAAACTAACATCCTGGTCATTGCGCAGGTGGGGATTACCGCGGTCAGACAAGGTGAAATCAATATCGTCCAGTCTAGTATGGTTGGAAGCATTCTTTCGGGCAACCTCCTGGTAAGTTTGGATATTCGACTTCGTGGCCAGTTTGCTGATCAATCTAGATTCTTGGCGTGTCTCTTTTTTGCGGCGGCATTTCAAAAGAAGCTGTAACATTCAATGTGGATGTCAGTGGAATTTTGTCATCTTTGATGGTCGTGTCTTCTGCCTCACTGATCATCCCATCGGTGCTCTATTCGACTATCTCATCCAAGTCACCCGATGTGGAGCAGAGCGTGTTGAGTCTCTCCCGTGCCGCTTCGGTTGTACTGCTCACATTCTACCTTGTTTATCTCTACTTCCAACTTAAAAGTCACTCTGAGTTATTTGTTGATGATGAACCAGAGGAAGAGGAAGAGCAAGTCCTCGGCCCCTGGGCTGCCAGTATTGTCTTGATCCTCGCTACGCTCGGTGTCACCGTCTGTTCTGATTGCCTCGTTGAGAGCGTGGATGGCTTTGTAGAGAAATGGCATGTGAGTCGGGCGTTCATTGGTCTGATTGTCGTACCAATTGTCGGCAATGCGGGTGAATTCAACACGGTCGTCAACTCTTCGCTGAAAGGAAACATGGACCTCGCTATTGGTGTGGTCGTGGGAAGCACTTTACAGATCGCTCTGTTCGTGAGCCCATTCCTAGTAATTTGCGGCATGATCATTGGACAGCCAATGTCACTACGCTATAGTCCCTTTGAGACGGTAGTATTCTTCTTGTCTGTTATCGTGATGGACTGCTTGATTCGAGGCGGTCGGTCCAATTACTACGAGGGGTGTTTGTTGGTTGGAACGTAAGTGATTGCCCGAGTGCATTGGATCTGACTGGTGCTAACAAATTTTAGATATCTCATCATTGCAATTGCCTTCTACGTGCATCCAGATGCAATCGACTCGCCATTGGTGTGAAGTGATTGCCCAAAATAGTTACATTAGCTCATACATTCCTTGATGTTACGTACCGTTCTAAAGCGAATGACAGAATACAGACTTTTTTTCTCATAATTCACTAGGGTATACTCAAATACATAAACCGACGAGAAAGAATCTGAAATCGAAACGGTGTCCGCTTCAGAACATGACTAAAAAATGCAATGGCAGGGATTAGCGCCCATCCCGGGTGGAGCAGTATCGTAGGGCTGAGACTTGGCACTAAAACAGAGGCAGATGACCAGCATAAATTAATATGTTACGCAATATACATTCTCGAAGTACCGTTTGCAGCCCAATTTAAGGATCAAATGAAACGATGGGGCCTCACACTAGCGTGCTCAGGCGTACTCATTGAAATTGAAGGCATATTTACTGTACAGAACTGACATGCCAAGCAAATACAATAGTTCACCAATCGGACCCGCCATCTGGACAATAAGGAATTGTCACGGCATCCACGAGCATGTCCGTCACAAAATCCTTCCGATATATTACAAGTAAAGTAGGGGACGGTTAGACAGCCCCAACATACAATAGTCCCACCTTTAACCGGCTCCCCAATCAAAGAAAAGTTTTAGCATTCCAACACGGGGGTTTCAGGCAGCAGAATTCCCTCCAACAGACAGCAGCATCGACTAGCATCCAAAGAACATCATGTAGCGGTATTGCAGAGATGATTGGTCTACAGCTGCAGAGATTGACGCCGTGCTGTATGCAGCCCTATGGGCCCCGTTTGGGAATGTGCAACTTCATGATAATGCATAGCGGATCCTTTAATTGTAGAACAAATTATTGGTCTGAATATTTGATTACATTAAAAAAATAGGCCTGCCTAGTTTCTGGGTGACCAGCAGTGGCATTCCTGTCCATTTCTTTCTGTAGTACAAAGGATTGAGACATGAACGGGAGAAGGTCGAGCCCCTTACACATGCAATAAGGAGAGAATATATGGACATGTGACGAAGAAAAATGGAATATTGAAAAACCATGTTTCCAACAAAATATCATCCTGGTACCCTCAACAAAAAAGTGAAAAACCCAACCCATAAACATGATGTAAAATCCACCGGAAGGAATCTGTATCTCCTCGGAGGCTAGTCAGATTGAATTTTTATCAAAAGGAAAGACCCTTACCGATAAGTCTCTCGAATCAAGGCTGTGCAATTCCATGTTCTGTCGCTCCCGGGGTTTTGGCATAAACCGGGGCAGGCTGTTGAACCGGGGTGTAAGGCACCCATTGCTGTATAGGAGGTGGCTGAAACCCGGTCTCAATTTCTTTCTCCTTCTGTTTCTTTTCGCGGCGCATCTTGATCCAGAACACCACAACGACGGTGACGACGATGAGGAGAACGATTGGGATGATGATCGCTTTCAGGAGGAGCTTTATGAGACCCATGGTGACAAATATGAGATGTAGACTGTTGTGGTATAAAATAAAAAACCAATTAAACAGTCGATTCTTAAGCGTGTGCTGTGTATAGTCTCTTCAAGTTCCCATTTTCGATTCAATGGGTAATCGACGAGACCTTTATACCCCTATTATATTCAGTATCTATGGCGGTGATTGGCAAGGTCCCTGTCTTTGTGTGACGACCCCAGTCGCATCATCCCAGACACGGGCTTGATTTACATATAGAACTTGGGAAGCGCTTAACCAAAGTATCTGGTTGGTGTCTAATTTTGATCCGAGAAGTAGGCAGCACCGGGGGATTGCTATGCGTTACTATGTATCCACCATTTTCCTGACTAAGACTAACTCCACCAGCCCTAGGCTGTGATGTGACTGTGATTGATCGTACATGTACTTGAGTGAAGCTTTGCCACTTCTGACGGGGCGTACTCCGTACTAATGTGCATGAGGGTCAATACACGTCTACCAAGAGGCCAAAAAGACCACTATGTCAGCCGTCAGATAGACTAGTAATACGACCGCTGGCCAAAAGCGTTGAAGTAAAGCTTGATCAACTCTCCCGACCAACTCGTTGATCACTATCACTATCATCAACTAGGATGTCAACATCCAGCTAAGAAGCAGTCAGGTTCTAGTCAAATCTAACTACGTTGATTGACTATTGCGGCTATTTTAATGCTCTGTCCACGGTCAGCTACGTCTCAATCGTCTATAAGAGACATCCGGGGTTGCTAGAAACGGTATTGACAGATCACCGACTTTCCTGGCAGGAGCTCTGTAGTCTGCCTTCTTCTCATAGGAGATTCATTTTCCTCTCTCTCATTCTCTCCATAAAATTCATAGCACTAGACTGAAGCTATACTATCCTTGGCACCATAATCTGCAGCACGGGTAGACCCGAATTGTAATTACATGAGGTGTGCGGATGATGTTGAACGTTGATGCATGTTGAAAGATGTCCGGATTACATATCCTGCTACACATGGTGTAAGCCCGACAAGACTTTCTATCCACATGTTACCTGTGTGCTTCTGTGCCTTCATTTCAACCGCCTGTAAGCCCCACGGTCTCTGCAATTAACAAACATTCTCAGTGAGTATCCGTTTGTAGACTCACAAGATTCAAATACCTTGAAATCAATTCAGATAAATCAGAGCTGCCAAATACGGCAACTACTTCACTAATATGCTTTACCTCGGCCCCGGAATCATGTCCGAAATATCAAAGATCATCCAAAAAGCCAAAAAAAGCAGACAAAGATATGCGAGGATAGTGTAAGATAAGCCAGTAGATATGTCTGGAATATCATTCAGGTCCAGCAACGAGATGAAGCTTTCAGGGAGAAGCTAGGGCAAGGATGAAACAGTGGCATCCTCTATCTCGGCTTGAATGTCACGATTTGATGACTAACACTCAATTTTTTGTAGCTGAAGTACGTATAATATTCGGGTATACATCTTCTCAGTAAGAGCAATGGCTTCGACTTATGTCGCAAACAATCCATCTGGATGTGCTTCCATAATAGCTATGCCTGTAGAATCTGATGTAAGAGATGTCCTGAAATCATCACTGTGGGCGATTCTTATTGTTCTCAAAGTACTCAAAGAATTCCTCAAGCCTGAGATGGCTTGAAACGTACTCAACGCAGACGCTAAGAGACATCTTGTTTGTATTTCGCTACCCAGGGTCTTGTTTATTCGTTGTGCAATGGAGCCAACGCCGAGTACGGATCGGAGCCAGTGGATTTGGGGGTCGACATGAAGCTTGGACGTGCCTTCAGAAGGGGAATTCGTGGTCGAGGATCGTTGTGATACCTGAAACAATAGATCCGAATCGCCGACCCGGGAAGAAGCAAATGCAAACCCAATAATTCAGATTGAACCAGCGACTAGCTCTTCTGCGTTTGCGTCCCCTTTAATGGCTAGTTCATCCTGGACTCCTTGTAGACTCTTTTGATTGTGCTCATTCAGAGCTTGAAGTTCGACTGTGCCCGAGCTTACTGAATTTTGATGGATTGATTTGCTCGGATCAGTTTGATTTTGTATGGGGAATTACTCATCTGGCTTGTGTGTTGTCAAGATATCCAAACGGGCCAGCGCTAAAAGTAAGTGCATCAAAAATGTATTCTTGGCAGCAATGTCTGGAATTGCACGCTCCTAGACCAGAGTTTTGCGGAAACTTAGGCCCAATATCTTCGAGGTGTACAGTATGTAACTCTGTAAGAGATTCAGATCATGCAAGTTCAGAGATCTGGATTTGCTAGCAGGACTTGGGGTTCGCATGTGAGGCCAGTCGAAATCTAGCGATCGGATGGAAACTGCATGCAGAACCGGATGTATCACCGGACCAAACTCCTCATTACTTGCAGCACCTTGACGAGAGGTATGGTGTCTTCGTGCAGGCTAACATGCCCCAGCCAGGGGAGGGAAAGTACAGTCACCACCTTGAAGAGAACAGGCACCACAAATTGGCCTTTCTTTATCACACTATTGTACTCAACCATCTTGAGAAGAATGAAGATTCTTACGAAGTTCTCGATTACATCCACCCGCGATATTTGCATGCAAAACAACCATTATGTGATTTGGTGTGGCTCATACGTTGGATTGGGCTCATCTGCGGCCTTGACATTAGCGTTGGCTTGGAGGTTGAGGAACCTTCATGCAATTTGTGCAATTCCATTATTGTCATATATGTGCGCTGGACTAGAGACTATGGCGCAGTGTCAAAGACTTCACCGGCCGCGTATGTGGACAATGGAAGCCAACGTGATGTGAGCTAGAAGGTGCAACTCTATTTCTGCGCCACATTCGAAGCCCCTTGACGTGCAAACAATGCAAACAACGCTTGTCAAATCTCTAATTTTGGGTCCCCAATGGGCTCCAATGGGGATTTTGGAGTCAAAAGAAACTACCCAAAACGCAGGTTGGATTGGAAAATCTGGACATATGAATACAATCTCAGTCAGGGGTATGAGCAACGCATCAAAGATGCACCGAATATATATAGGAGATATTATCTGCTTATGACGTGTTTATCACAAAGGTGATCATGCCAGAACAAGTAGACAAGCAGAATACTGAACCCATATTACGGACTACCATGTCAAAATGCTCTACGGTCCATATAATCGTATGGCTGATACGACCTCTATATACTGCACCCTTGATTCTTTACGCGCCCAGGCTTTGTTGATGCTGCTACATTGCTGAAACCAGAGGCTTCTTCTTCATTGAGGAAAGGAGCTCTTTCTGTAGATCATCGTGAAGATATCGTGAGTTCTTATTATTATTACAAACGTGATAAATGTGTTTGAGCGTCAACTATCTGTGAGAGACCTGTCTGAATCAGGTCTGGTGGATGATATGACAGCGATGTTATCCCTGAGCTGTCACCGTCCCAGCGACGTAAACCCATGACAGCCCCAAAAGCCATTTTTGGTCTAGCAATTCTTCATCGCTCGGACCCATGATGCATTTTGAATTGAGTTAGATGATACAAGTATATTAAAACAAGGAAAGTAATGAGTTTCAAAGTTTCATGGGTCTCAAAACTCTTCGACTCATTAACTCTCCATCTTCACCTCCTCTGTAGTTTCAATTACGTGTACAAGCCTACGTAACCAAAGGAGGCAACAAGGCAATCAGATGTCCCATTTGGCGCTATGCCATTCGACGCTTGGGTTCGCTTTGCATGCCTTTTCTCCAGATGTAATGAATGGATTTGGGCCGGACAAATAGACCCAAACGGACCCTCCCGGCGATTGACCACAAATTGACGCCAAACTTGTTTGAATATCCACTCGAGGTCTACCCTTGCCGGTTAGATGCACTTGGAATTCAAGAGCTGGATTCGGGTCTGCTTAAAAACAATTGATTGTCAGTATACATGTGATAGTATGGGACGTTATGAAAACTGGATCTACCTTTCAGGAACGGTAAGTCAATGTAGTCTTTCTCTCTCACGCTCCACAAGACCACACACCTCTCCCATATAGGGGGAGCGTTGCTTCCATCATTGGCTTGTGATCCACGGCAAGTTGTAAGAGCTGTTGTTTCTTGCCTCTTCTGTTCGAGAAAGGCACGGGCTATGGCTATAGCTCCACTCACTCCTGTACCGGCGACAAAACACACGACTGTCCTGTACCGGGAGGGATCTGCCTCCGAGAAATACGGCCCTTCAAGCCGGAGAGAAAGGGCCAGCTCTTCCGACGGATAACTGGATACTAGGTTCTTATTCGCGAGCTCGATAAAAGGTGGGCCGATTGACTGGTTGACACTGCTATCCTCTCCAGATCTTGATAATGATTTGCGTTGATCGGCGAGATTAGCTAGCTTTTCAGTCCACTGGAAGATCGGCTCTGCTGATTTGTGGAACCAGATAGGCCGCTTTTTGTTCTTAAACTGTGGCCCAGGAAGGTTGTCCATATTCCCACTTTTACGGAAGAGGAATTGGATCGGAATATCATCTCGGAACTCGGAAACAATAGTTTTCTGATAAGCCAGAGGGGTAATAGTTGTGAAAGGATGGAGCTCCCGGACGGATGATTTTGAGTGGCGAATGTAAAAATGCGCAACAGGGGACTTGCACGCACAGCCGTCGAGTCGGTGTCGAGGGAGTAGCATATTGATGCTGAATGCATGTTAGATAGCTCGGTCTGAAAATTGAATGAGTCCACGTACCAATACCATCCTTGTCCGAGATGTGTCACCTCGCCTGGCAAACACTCTCTCAATTCATATAGCCGCATACCCCAGTCGAGCACCCACATGGCTAGTCCTGGAGCCACACAATATAAGATCGTACTGGCGTGTAGACAAATTATGACGACGGCCACAATGCTCAGGAGGTGAGTAAAGTAAAAGAGATTGAAATGTTTCGCTCGAATTCTCGGTAGCGTGGTGACAAAAATGAGACCCATTATCATGGTGGAAACGATACCGGTGAAAATAAGGGAAGCTCTCCAGACACCCAAGGCTGACGAGTTACCTGGCCAAGTCTCATTGTATAGATATGTTGGGTTGAACACAGGAAATACAGTCCGAAGCCTCTCTGAGAGAGAGTTGAAGGTGGGCACCCAGGATACATAAAGGAATCCGTGGATCAGGACAAGGACAAAAAGAGTATATGCCGTCAGCATATGAAAAGTAAGCGTGGTTGAGACGGAGAGTTTGAAGAAGGACGCAAGTGCGCTGTGTCGGGAAACCGGGATGAGGACCATTCCCATTGTGACATCGCATAGGTGACCTGTCAATGCAATCGCAGCGAGACGGTGGTTTCCCCCAAAAACGCCATTTTCCTGACCCCTGTTCTCGAAATAGTCTCGCAGGCGAATCCACCAGACGCCTACGATAATGCCGAATAGGCTGCTAATCCAGATGAATCCAAGGAAAGCACTGATAGCCAACCGTTCACCTAATATCGGGATTTTGCAATTAAACAACTGTCGCTGGAGAAAGCGACGCAGCTGAGGTTGAAAGGCGCGAACAGTGAAGAAAACCATGGAAATCAATATCCAAGAATACCAAATCACCACATGTAATCGTGCTTGGAGAGGAAAGAGCCATTCACCACACGTGCCAGCATAGCAATGATGATCCGATCGAAATGTTAGACCAATTGAAAGGCCAAAAGTGAGCAGAAGACTGCCTGTGAGAGGATAGAGACAAGTTCTAGGAGTAATTCTCGTCATTCTAAAACAGCAACCACACAGAGAGAAGATCAGAAGACGTCCATTAAAGTTGTAGGGAACATCGATTATACTAATACTTATTCCTAGAATTGCTCGGCTTAATATCAATACTGTGTCCAAAAGGCCTGCGCAACGGAAGGTTAGGTGTTGTGGTACGAGCCTGCTGCAGATCAGAAAGCAACCGGTCCAAGACACATCCAATTTACTTCGGTCTCGTTGTCGCTCTCGCTTTCGGTCCCGGTATTGCCTTTCCCCCCAATTTTGTCTACGGCTGATACTGCTTGATTTTGTATATTGGCAAGAAATGCACTGTGGCTTCGACGGGTATGGGCAATAGCACAGAGAATATGACCACGCCTGTTCCTTCGTCGGTGTCTGTCCCTATGAGCAGCTCCTCGGCTACTGCCTCCGCTTCCTCTTCCCCTGTTTACATCGGCGCTGCTCACACAATGGCCGGTAGCCTTGCTGGTATTGTCGGTGCTGGTTTGTTTGTTGCTACCACGCTTATTTAAATGTACTATTTTGTCGAGCCTTGAATCTGCAATGAATTTGGGCGGAATTACTGGTTTCAATTTCGTTTCGATTCTAATAGCGATGGTCCCAGGAATACCTGGAGGGTCATTCAAATATCTCTATTGTACAAACCTTACATGAAACGTGGGCATAGTACAGTGATGGCGATACGATGAATATCGACATTCTCCGCTAAATATATCACTTGTCCTGTGAACGACAATCTCGACGTGTATACATTCTCTAGACCAAGCAAGTCACATGATGCAGTAATTTTGTAAATATCTTGGATAATTCATTTCTTGCATCCAGTAATCTCCAGCCACCCTTACCATAGGCCGTCGCACCATGTGAATTTACTTTGAATATGCCCCCTCTCAGAGCGCACACCAAATCTCGCAAAGGGTGCGATCAATGCAGAATTAGGCGAGTTAAATGTGACGAGAGTCGGCCATGCTCGAATTGCAGGACGCGCGAATTGGAGTGCACCTACTTGAAACTCGCTGCCGCCAGTGGTCGCGCTACGAATGCCCATAATTCTCCACCCGGCGCAAACTCGGACGCCGCCCAGTCGCTATCTTCGCGAGGCTCGCCAGTTGCTGTGATCGCTACGCCAGTGCAAATAAACTCGTTCGGTATCCAGAACCTAGAATTGATGCACAAATATGCCACAGAGACCTACCAAAGTCTCTGCGTTAGTGAGTCGGAAACCCAAATCTGGCGAATTACCGTCCCTCGCCTAGCCCTCAAGCATGACTACCTGATGAACGGCATCCTGGCCCTGGCCTCGATGCACATCGCGACATCGTCAGAGCCAACGGAGGCCCTTCTCTACCAAGATACAGGGCTACAGTACTACAACCGCAGCCTAAACCCCTTCCGTAACGCAATTGACAACATCACGCCGCAGAATTGTGACGCGGTCTTCGCGCACTCGATCGTCATGATTGCCATCAGTATCGCATCGCCGCGACCAACCGTTATAAAAGACGGGTGCTCCAGCTTCACAGATAACATCGTGATTCTCTTCGAGCTGCTGCAGGGCGTCAAAACGATCATGCAGTTCAGCCAGTCCTGGATTAACTTGAAGCTGTTCTCGCAGGGCGAGTTCTGGACGAACACCGCCACAGATTTGGATACAGATACTGAGGCCGCACTGACGTATCTCTCTGTGCTGAATGATCAGCTTATGGTTGGGGCTTACTCGCACCAGCACCACATTATGAAAGACGTTATCTCGCATCTGCGGCATTGTTATGCTAAATTTGCGCGGTCGGCCGATCCTGCAGCTGTACTTGCTTGGCTTGCAGCTGTTGAGAGCGAATTTGTGTATAGTTTGAGGTGTCGGCAGCCATTCTCGTTGCTGATTCTTATGTATTGGGGCGTGCTGTTGACGGAGCTTGATGGGCAGCGGTGGTGGGCGAGGAATTCGGGCAGGGCTTTAGTTTCGGAATTGTTTGATACTTTGAAGGCTGGGGATCCGAGGTGGGAGAGTGCCATTGATTGGGTCCGACGGAAATTGTCGCATTGAGCATCAGGACTGTTGGCCGGTTGGAGTCATTTGTAATCGGGAGCAAAGTCGCAACAGCACACACATATGCGAGCCACTCAGATCACATTGTACATATAGCATGTTTTAAAGTGACTTGTAAACATTCTTTTTCTTTCAGAATGCTGTTCGAGGCGGCAATGGCTCACTATACAAGGATCTACGCCACTATTGATAGGCAATCCGCGTCAAGGGTGGTCATACTAGCTGGCAACGGTCCTGCACAGTGCAAACAGAAAGTAAATTCCAACATAGTCGACCATATATTTCCTGAATTGAAATTACACGTCCTTTGACCGAAAAGGCGGCCTGCAATACTGTCAACCCAACATGAACCTTCATTCGCCGATGAAGCTGACTTCAATAGCGGAAGTCGCGGCCCAGTCCACGTTCTAGGGAGTAATTGAACTGTGAAACTGTGGGAGAACTCGAAGCTATTAATCTATTATCGGTATTGGTTCGCCGCATTGAAATACTTGCATCGCATACCACCAAAAATTTCACACGAATCCGCTCATCTGAAGCAACCTTTTCCAGATTGGAATAGAATGGATCCATAAATCCTGCATTTAAAAAGACCTCTTCAAAAAAGTTCTGCAGACCTTGTTGATAGAATTTTGCTTCGATATATTCAAGAGTCAAGGCATAGTTAAGAATAGTTGCTGTTGAGTCCCCTTAACTAGTGAATAAAACCGTATCGAGAGAAAAAGAATTGATGTATTCTCTGGGAATTACAGAACATAGCATCTTTGATTGCACGTTTTCCAGGCGGTCTGCCGAAGACAATACCACCAGTAGCAGCAAGCAATGCACAGTCACTAGCCTTCATAATCAATATAGTGCTTTTTGTCAGAAAGAAATGGATCTGTGTTACAGTCACATGTTAGAATGTTGAATATGATAACACCCTCTGTAGATATAAGGATAGACAGGAAATTTATACACAATGTTTGGATTGAAAATTGTATCATTCTAATACTCCAAACTGCACTAGAGCAGTCTGTTTGGGCCACTTAATATTTCATTCTCACGTCATCACCTTATTTAATAGGTATCACATAATGAATTTGGATGGGTTTTTTATTTCGGACAAATAGCACCATAATTGGTTGGAAGGGAAAATTCGTTTTCGTTGAAGACAGGTTGTAAATGATACCCAAGATGACAACTATACTATGAGTAGGCAGATGGACTCATGTGGGCTGCCAAATATTTGTTCGGAGATAACTATCGAGATGAACTTGATCTACGGCAGTATCCTGTTCGCTATGCCAGAGGGGCTTGCAGCGGACTTGAAATGACAAACAGAAATATCCAACCTTTGAAGCATGACTAGGATGAGCTATTTCTGTTTGTGGATGGCACGGAAGATTGAAACTTAAGTTGAATGTGAGTTAACGATCCAGCTATGATCCTTCGAATGGAGATGATTGGTAATATCTGTGGGAAATTAGAGTTGTGAGATTAGCTGAAGGTCAGAAGAGACCGAGACCGAGACCGAGACCGATCGATTAACAGAGATCCATATTATCGTGATGGGGTCATCTTTGACGAACACTACCTAGAAAGTGGGATTTTTTTGGCATAGTTGGTAGACGTGTATTGACCTGGGTGCATTTCTTTAGAGTGTCTCGGTCCGACCCGATATTGATATCCGCGAACGAGTCCGTATTACGCACGAATAACTAGTCGTTGCTATGTTAGAAGAATTCTGGATTATACTTGGCTATGCTTTTCTGTCTTCTAACGTTAAAAATCTGTCTCTTAACCGTACTATTGCCTTGTAGGCCTTATACAGGGTAAGTCCTTTTGAGAGGATCGAGAAAGGATGCTAGTTAGGGCGCCGAGTAGATCTATACCGGAGTATTGGTCGTGAGTTTTATTGAGTTATAATAGTAGAATTGCTCTACTCGACGACTACCGACCTTTTACCGATATAATCATGTGCATACCTTGCGTTCCGCGGTACTAGGAACCCGGTGTGGTAAAGGGGAAATAGAATACCTTTGTGCCCTAGAGGCTAGAAGTGGCCTTAAATTTACCGTCGCTTAGCGCTGTAGTGTAGTCAGCCCTTCTCCACTGCAATAGTTTATTTGGCCGAATATTCCGGCTACTGCATGTAGATAGTACAGTGTCCCTAGCCAACCACTTCAGATTGCTGGACCTCACCAGACATGCTTTGCAAGATCGGCCGAAGTTTTAACGACACGACTCGGCAATTGAAAAATGCACTAATACATTGACATTGCTAAATAATTGAAAACATGAAGAAACACCCACTTCGCTATATACCACCCCTGCAAAATACCAAACCCAAAGCCTATTACTACTCAATCAACCTGACCCTAGTCGGTAGCCCCAGCGATGGCTTAGCCGTGACATCCAAAACCTGGTACATGAACGTCCCCTCCTCATACACAATCTCAAAATCAAATGTCCTCACCGTCATCACCAAGGCAATCTTCAGCTGTATCAACGCCAATGTCTGGCCCAGACACATCCGCGGTCCCTTTTCGAACGGCCTCCAAGCATCGCGCGGGACAAAGTATGAATCCGCGGGATCAGTAACGAGGTGCCGTTCGGGATAGAACCTCTCTGCGTCCTTGAAGAGATCTTCCCGGCGCATGGTGGCGCAGTTGTTGACGAGGACCGCGAAGGGGTATGTGGGCCATTCTTTGCCGTCTACGAGAATCGTTTGGTCTGGTTGGCCGCGGCGGAGACTGACGCCTGTTGGAGGCCAGAGGCGGAGGGCTTCTTTGATAACGGCGAGAGTGTAGGGTAGGTTGTTTACGAGGTTGGGGTCGTTGCGGAGGGAATTTGCCGCGGCAGAGGGGTCATTGCCGAAGATTGCATTGTGTTCTTCTCGGACGTTGTGGAGGATGTGGGGGTTTTTGCTTAGGGCGGCGTATGTATACTGACTATTGTTAATGGTGGTGGAGTAAAAAATTGCGAAGGACTTACGCAGAGAGTGCTGGCTGAGGTGTCGTGACCAGCAAAGATGAGCGTCTTGACAGACGCGATGAGCATGTCCCGCGTAGATTTATCCATAGACGTGGTAGGTGGGATAGTCTTATTCAGGGTGCGGCTGGTAGCAATGGCGTCGTCGATGGCAAAGTATTTAGCCTTTTCGCTTGGAATGGCAGTTGGGCCGCTGACAACTCTTTGGTCTACTAGACGACCAACGTAACGGTCTAGAGCACGTCCGTTGCTCCACTTCCGATAGTATCGGCGGGGGTTGACGTCGTAGAGATACCGAGACCAGAAGTCCTGTGGTGCCAGGGCGGCCTGTTTCCGGAAGAGCTCGAGAAATTCATCATCATCCCTCTGCGCGTTGCACTTGATTCCCCTATATTGTGTCAGTTGATGCTTGATCAGCAACATGGGACGTGTAGCCTACAAGATTACCCAGGCCGAGATGTTGAATATCATCCTCGCACCCAGATCTTCCATTTTGAAGATGTCATTCTTTGCAGCATGTTCTCTTAAAACACCAGCAAAAGCCAGCGCCTCATCCACAATAATCGGAATATGCTGCTGCAGCTTCCGCGGCTGGAAGCCCGGAGTGAAAGACTTGCGAGCAATGAACCAGTCATGCCCATTCGCAGTGACCATAGACTTCTGGCCAAGGATAGGACCGGTCCATTTCCGCATGACGGCCGACTCCTTGGGAAGATTCATCTTGTGGACGATTTGCGTGGCCAGTTCTGGATGGGCAATGACAAGCTGCGGCGGCGCGAGCGGCCACAGATCAAGGTAGAAGAAGTCACCGAGACCGTATCTCTGGCGCATCAAGTGCGCAAACAGCTGCGGGGTTGCATCAGGGGGTAGAGTGCTTGCGATCTCTCGCATGATTAAAAAGTGGCCCCAAATAGCGTGATGCGGCGGCCCAGGGAGATTTTTGAACATGCCGCGTTGCTGGCGCAGTCTCACGAGGAAGTAGCTCGCGAGAGCGGCTAGGACGAGAAATAGAGCGAGCATAGTTGTATTCGGGTGTTGAGGACAAAGAGTCGTCGCTGGTGGAGTAGATGCAGAGTTGGAGGGGCGAAGAGACAGTGAGGTAGGCCAGGTATTCAGCTCCAAGCATACTGTTGACTACAATTCTTTTTGATTTCTTGTGTTAAGAGTGAGTCTCCTGAGCTCTTAATATATTTGTTCTGAAGGGGCCAAGTCGGATTCTGTGATGGTTGTGTCGTGATGTAGAATCTATTTCTGGCTTTCTGGGGCCGAGTTACCCTATACTAACAGTGGCTTGCAGACTGCAGATCTTTTAAAAATAACCCCTGCAAGGCTAAAACGCCAGCCTTGGCGGACGAATGCTTGGTGTCGATGGCAGTGCTTATTTTAAGTGGGGATTCTTCACTTAATCCTAACTACGAAATTAGGGCTGCGCAGGGATCGCCCCCATTTCCTATTACTCCATGTATTTTAGTATATGGTACAATCCATGTGTCTTTGTAGATGGAATAGATCAAAAGACTGCATCTGTGTAAGGCGATTGTTCAGAAGCCTTCGGGATGACTCCTACGTGATTAATTTTGCCTCACCTCTGCGATGTGTGTCAGATGGGGGCCATGGGGCCGCAGGATCGATCTCACGCCTCTAAAAAAAAGCAATGATAATCGTGGCATTTCGGTGGCAATGATTGAAGCGATCTGTAGTTATAGTTCTTTACCGTACTTTCCACAACACTGTAAATTTTGAAATTTGTCCAGAATCTCCTCAACCTCAACTGTCGCGCCCATCTAGTTGATCATTTCCAAGCTCACCATGTTTGCCCTACGAGACGCAATTTACCTGATCGAACTGGCATTCTATGCCCCCATCGTCCCTGCTATCCTCTTTATCGTTCTACTCCATGGAAACAAGCACCCCTATACATGGCGTCCCATCGTTATTCCCCTCATCATTCTTTCCGGCTTGCGAATCGCCGCAGCAGGACTCGGCCTAGCAGCCATGGACCCCACAAAATCCAATCTCCTGAC